GATGCCTCCGATTTTGTTGAAATGGATGTGCTCCCTTCGGAATTCTGTAAAGTTTCAGTCCACTGCTTGAAGAGAAGCGATTCTGGCATCCATACACGCAACAACCCGACATTTTTATGTGCTCAGAACTTCAAAACAAAGGGTTAAAAACGCTGTTTTAGTATCGAGTGTGAATGAGGAAGCCTTCACTCTCGTTGCCAGGCTGCGCGCGCAACTTTTGATGACGTAGGTAGTAAAAGGGTCTATTGAGGACCGCTGAACTAGACCACCAATCAGTGAAGGGTTAGAAATGAAAATATTGCCCACTGCTACGTTCCCCTGAGATACTAAAGACAGTAAAGATGGAACAGTCGATTTAATAGATGCAACAGGATGAACCATGACCCATATGGGGTCAGAAAAGAAAATGTTTCAGATGTATGTGTGTCATACACTTACATGTGTTTTGCCCTCATTCTGCCACCTACTCAGCACAATATGGTCCAGCGTGGGCGTGGAGCTCATCAGAGCATCCTCTGCTTCCAGCTCGCCATCCAGACAAGTCGCAGGAGTAATCAGTCATCTCAGAACTTTACCTAACCCATCACAAACGTTAGATTTACAACAACAAATCAGCTGATCGGATGCTCATCATCATTAATCCTTTTATGGCCAGTCTGAACCTCAATAACCATTTCTATGGCAACACGCCCTTCTGGTGTCAAACAGCTTTCAGGAACTTTTTCTCTGTGATTTACTTTGCTGTGATGGAAGTGAAGCTAGCTAGCATCTGCTAGCTTCAGCTGGAGCTCAGCAGTGATGATGTCACAGAAGCACCAGAAATATAAGCTTATTCCAGAGTAGATGGAGCTGATCCTGGCTGGTTAAGGTCAGAGTTCATCAGCCAGGCAGACGGACTGGGATAAAACCAGTTCATCCACGGCTTCTGTGGGGCCTTCAGCTGAAAACCAGCTCCATTCATCTCATTCGTCTGAAGATAGGCGTAAAAGACCCGTTTTAACTCCTCAGACTTGGACCTCCTCACCCACAGCCGTCGGTTTCGTGGAACGTCTCCATGTTTACAGCGAGTGAGCGAGCACCGAGGGGAGGAAGTCCCATCCTCCAGCAGATGTTATTAACCGGCTGTGGTGGAACGGCGTCGGCCCTCGGGGACAGCGTTCCCAGATGAACCTGGTCCTCTAACGGCACCAAGACTTGTTCACAACTCTCGCCCATGTTAAAGCATGCGGCAGGGAGGTGGTGTGCTTTACGGTAAACAGGAAGGAGAGCTGTTCAGCTACTCAACATGAAGGATGTAAGTAACACAGAAGGCTGTGGTGCACCAAACCCCTCAGGTCTTCTGATGTTGGCTAAAACAGGATCAAACTGGTGATTTACACCAGTCAGCCCAGTAAAACAGGCCCACACCCGTGTTTATAACAATGCACTTCCCTCGTCGCTGGAATGACTGGGATGAAGATGTAAAGTCAATCCACAGGAGACCCTGGAGCAGGAAGTAACTCGAGTCTAAACATTCCTTGTTTGTGAGGTCAAAGGTCAACCATAATGAATAGGCCCCACAATCATACCCAGCTAACCCTGCCCAGTATACTCTGGTGACTACCAGGGTGGTGTCTTAGGCTACTCCTCTTTATTGTCTACCTGATTCTCCTCCATCACAATAACCTTCATCACTATGGAAACAAACTTAGTGGTGTCTAGAAGACAAAGACACAGTCAGAAAACAGTTTTATTCCCCAGAGACTCAACACCTCATCAGGCTGACCACCATCATCAGGGTGACCCTGAATGATAGGAACAAGGCTACTTTGGCTGGGCGGGGACAGACTTTCCAGAGGGACTAGAAAGGTGATTGGATTCTGAGAAGAAGCAGCTCTTTAGCTTGTTAGATACCCACCGTCCCAGTCAGACAATTACTGCAGCAAAGGGCCGGTACGTGTCCTGCTGTTCTGGCTGAAATCAGAAAATAGGAGCAGGAATTCCATCGGAGATGCTCCGTCCTGCAGAGACGAGTGCAACAGATGCAGCTGTGCCTTTAGGCAGGTGCTTTCAACCATCCATCTCCTCCTCATTATGCCCAAACTGTGATATCATCAATCTGCTACGTCCATCTGACTCCAGCAGCGCTTCTGTGATGAAGTGCTTTAATTTGCCTCCTTCTCCCTGATTCTGCTTATCTGTTTCTGTTTTAGTTACTGAGTTTCTGAGACGATGCATAAAGGAGCTCTCTGTTCCAGGTGGTGTCTGAAACCGAGGAGTTCTGAACTACAGGATCATGTTCTGCTCCATAATCACAATTCTACAGGTAGCTGTTTAGGTTTTCTGTAGCTATAACATGGGATGCACGATATATCCACATCATATTCCTATTTACAGGGGGGGGGGAGACCACAGGGTGTGTTCCCACTACAGGGGGATCACACTTCTGAGCCTCCCAGGTAGGGTCTATGGGTCAATCAAGATAGTCCAACCTCAGGTTCAGGAGGAGCAAAGTGGTTTTCATCCTGGTCATGGAACACTGGACCAGCTCTAAACCCTTAGGGGGTCCTGGAGGGTATGTGGGAGTTTGCCCAACCAATCTACATGTGTTTTGTGGATTTGGGGGAGGTGTTCGACACGTCCCTCAGGAGGACCTTTGAGTGTACCCTGTACAACCGGTCTTGGAGCTTGGTCCGCATTGCCTGCAGTAAGTCGAGCTTGTTCCCAGTGAGAGTTGGACTCCACCAAGGCTGCCCTTTATCACGATTCTGTTCATCAGTTTTATGGACAGGATTTCTAGGAGCAGCCAAGGTGTTGATGGGATCCGTTCCAGTGGTCTGAGGGTCATGTCTCTGCTTTTTGCAGATGATGTGGTCCTGTTGGCTTCATCAGAACGTGATCACCAGCTCTCACTGGAGTGGTTCACAGCCGAGTATGAAGCAGCTGGGATGAGAATCAGCTCGTCTTAATCTGAGACCATGGTCTTGAGTCACCATTACACCACCAGCAGCAGCCTGAACCGTAGATACGAGGCAGGATGATTCATGCTTTCATGTTGTTGACACCAAATTCTGACCCTACCATCCGAATGTCGCGGCAGAAATCCAGACTCATCAGACCGGGCAACGCTTTTCCAATCTTCCATTGTCCAGTTTTGGTTAGCTCGTGTGAACTGTAGCCTGTTTCCTGTTCTTAGCTGACAGGAGAGGCACCAGCTGTGGTCTTCTGCTGCTGTAGCCCATCTGCCTCTAGGTTCAACGTGAACGTGTTGTGCATCCAGAGATGCTCTTCATTCCTTGGTAGTAGCGAGTGGTTGAGTTACTGTTGCCTTTCTACCAGCTCAAACCAGTCTGGCCATTCTCCTCTGACCTCTGGCATCATCAAGGCCTTTTCACCTGCAGAACTGCCAGTCACTGGATGTTTTCCCTTTTTCAAACCATTCCCTAGAAATGGTTGCACATGACAATCCCAGAAGATCCGTAGTTTCTGAAATACTCAGACCAGCCCGCCTGGCACCAACCATGCCACATTCAAATCCACTTAAATGTCTGTTCTTCCCCATTCTGAAGCTCAGTTTGAACTGCAGCGGGTTGTCTAGACCATGTCAACATGTCTAAATGCACTGAGTTGCCATCATTATGTTGGGGTTATTAGGAACGAATAATTAGTAAGCTTTACTTACTTTTGGATTCTTCAGTAAATTCTGTAAATATGGGAATATTTACCGAGTTATTAATTAATTAAGATACTCCTTAGGTATCTCCGGGGCACCATCCCCTTTAACAGGGGAAAATTGAATCCAAACTCTTACCAGTCTATCTGAAATTCGTGGAATCAGGAGCAGAGATTTTCACACCAACACAAAACAAATCGCTTGAGGGGGAGAGTGGGCATCCCTGCCTGGTCCTCCTCTGAAGACAGAAGCTAGCTGATATTTGGTCGTTCGTCCTGACACGTGCTGTTGGTGAACTGTATAATGTTTGTAGCATGTTTATGAAGACGTTCCCAAAACCAAATTTATGTAAAGTTGCAAATAAGAACTTCCAGTTAACTCTATCAAAAGCCTTTTCTGCATCTAGTGATAATATACTAGTTTCTATGTTTCTACTGTAAGAGAAATCTATCAAATTAAGTAATCTACGCGAGTTTGTAGATGACTGTCTACCCTTGATGAAACCAGTTTGGTCAGGGTGCATTATAAAGGGGATTACCTTCTCTAATCTTTTTGCCAGGGCTTTACATATTATTTTGAGGTCAACATTAATAAGAGAAATTGGGCGATAGCTGGTAGGAAATGCAGGGTCTTTGCCTGGTTTTAATAAAAGACTAATATTGGCTGAATTCATGCAACAACTCCTTCGTTACCGAGGCAGTATGTTTGGGATCATCATCCTATACCCAGCTACGTTTCATCTTCAATGCCCTCGATGATCACAGGTTTTCACTCAGAATCTCATGACACCAGGCCCATTCATTCTTTCCTTTATACAGATCAGTAGTCCTGGACCATTTGCAGACAAACAGCCCAAAGCATGATGTTTCCACCTCCATGCTTTGTATGGTGTTCTTTGGATACAACTCAGCATTCTCTCTCCTCCAAACACAAGTAGAGGTTGAAAATAAAAAATCTGATTGTATGAAATGCGTTAAACTGCTTAACCTGGAGAAATGACTGCGTTTTAAAATCAATTAGCCAAGGAGCCACTGAAAGAAATCACTTAATTTTAGATATAAATCTTAATGAAAAAGTTCAGATTGTATGAAATGTGTTAAGAACATCTGTCCTGCTGATTAAGATAAGTAACAAACTCAGAAATTGTTTTGAGTCATCTAACCAATAAAACTGAAAGCTTTAGATTTTTTGCACTTGTTTTCAAGTGATTGTTGTCATAAATAATCTGACGTACACAGATGGTTCTAATCCCAGCACTAGACATCATCTGACCCTCTTCACACGCTCTAAGCAGACCCATCTCACACTGAGGAGCCCAACACGCACAAATGATCCCATCAGTCAGGAATATATTTAAACATCTTTAATCGTGCCGTTATAAAAGTCACGTGAATAGAAAAGTTTATTTAAAACATCTGGGTCATTAACAAGCGCCAATCAGAAGGTACAGGAGCCAGCGTAGGAACGCAGATGCAGTCGACCCACAGCCCGGTTTGTGTGTGCGTTTGTGAGGAGGGCGGGATTAGTTGTGCAGCTGACACAAGGCGTGACATCACATCTAACACATGACAGCTTTTTCACTACATCAGCCTGGCTGATGCAGCACGAGGGTGGTGTTCAGCCGTGGGCCAGGCTGCTGTAGGAGCAGAACCGCATGCATCATTTAACACAAACAGACCCATAAACAAAGCATCTGATCTAATACTGACACTAGCAGTAAAATAAAGAGCTCAGCACTAAAGGTCCTTCTGATCTGGAGCAGAAACACAACCTAGCAGCTCGACACTGAGTTGCATCAGTGTGTTTTAATATGTTAAGTCTAATCCAGTTTCCTTGTGTCGCCGCTCGGCGCCGTCCTCGTCGCTCGGCACCGTCCCCTCCACTGGCTGTTCCACCATCAGTCCAAGTGTCTACACGCCACTGGCTTGAGACAGAAAGCACAGGAGAGCCGTGATTGGTGGAGGGGGACTGACCTGGAAGCTGAACTAAAAAATGACGTCCTGAGTGTCGCCGTTAGGCTGCGGCTTATTGGCCAGAGGTGGGAGGGGCTTCTTGTGAAATTCTGTGGAAGGGAGGAGGAAAAGTTTGGTCCGTCGGGTTCTGAAATAAATCAGACTGATGTTCATCCAGACATTGGCAGCATGTAGACAGGAGGGGATGGAAGAAATCACACACACACACATGTTAATATGAACACACACACTCGTGGTGGGGGAGGTGCAGCAGGAGGAACAGACAAGGTTCTGTGATGTCATCAGAACTCAACTTAAAGCAGAGTTCAGAGTTTCTCCTGCAGCACCACCCTGACAGCAAATGCTCCACCAAACTCATGCAGGTATGGATCTGTGCAGGCATCAGTGTGCAACTGACAGGAAATGAGAGTTAGTGAGGAGCTGACAGGAGGTCACAGCTTTACCCGAGTGCTTCGAGTCGCCGAGTGGCTCTAGTTTGGGATGTCTAGACAGCTTGGGCGTGGCCCATCCCACTGTAGGAACGAGAGGCAGACAGATAAAAGAGACAGAACTGCTTCAGATCGTGTAGAGGTCATGGTTAATCAGCGCTGGTGCTGCTGCTTCCTAACCGTGACCATAACATACTCTCTGAGGCCTTGTGGTAGCGTGTCTGCCCTGGGACTGGGAGGTCAGGGTTCAAATCCTGTTCCGGTCATACCAAACACTTTAAAACGTGACAAATCAGCTTTAAAATGCATCTTTATTGATTTTTAAAATATTGGATGGGTCACCAGTCATCCCCAGTGCATTCATTGGGCTAGAAAGGTTAATAGTAATCCGACATAATCATAATAGATGTTCGGTCATTTGACTCTCGTAACTCAAGCTGTGTCTGTGTGTTTGGATGTTAACCCTCTCAGGCTCGAAATACATTTTGATAAGAGGATGAACAAATAAGTCAGGGGTCAGCAACCCGCGGCTCTTCCATCCATCTGATGCAGCTCTCTGTGCTTGTAAAATAATGAATGGATATTTAAATAAAATGCTTTATATTTTACTGCATTAATTTAATATCTGTATGCCAATTCTAAATGTAAAGATTGTCTGCGTAAACCTGAACAGTTCCAACCCGGTCTTACTGTGAGACCGGGTTGACGGGTCACGCTTGTACGTAATCATATCGGTGCTTTCTGAGCTGAAGAGGATGTGAGATTCTGGGATTCTCCTCAGTCGCCACATTGGAGACAGGAACAAGCACAATTCAGCCAAAGTTTCATAATCAGGGAACATTTTCTAAGTGACAAGTCTCTCTGAGAGACCGGGTTTGGAAAACACTCGCTTCAGTGGGAGGAATCTTCCTGCATGCGCTCTGGTTCTGCGACGCGCTCCAAGCCCCTCTCCACATCTTCAGCTCGCTGTGCACCTTACGTACGCGCTGGCAGCGAGCTGCGCTGAGCAGTGTCCAGCTCAGATGTTCAGATGGAAATCTTTTCTTGAGTGATCGGGGTAATTGTCAGTAACAATTTTCACAAGAAAACAAAACAGTTAAAAGCAGGGCTTGTGTTGACCGGATAGTTCCTGTATTTGACCGTTTATTTTGACGGAGAAAGAATAGAAAGAATTACCCCGACGTGTGACTCCTCTTGAGAATCGTTTTTGTTTCCGCCGCCCGCTGAACAGCAGGAACGTAAAGCTTTGTTGCTGATAATGCTGTTCAGTTCTTCTCTTAATGAGAACAGCAGACTAACGGCAACACGTAGCTCATCACCGCCAGTGTGTGAATGGGTGAACGATACACTGTAGTGTAAAGCGCTTTGGAGCCCTCTGACTCAAAAAGGTGCTGTACAAGTGCGGCTCATTTAAATGTTGCCTGGATGTGTCTCCATCAAGCGGATGTAGCAGAGACCCGGACACGTGTTTTCCTGCTGGACCGTAGTCCCGAGTGAACCTTAAGCCTGATTCACACCTCTCCTCAGAGGCAGGCCCGCAGAGGCTGACGCCGTCATGCCCAGTTTTTTTAACTGCTCATTGAAAGCTGCAGAGAGCAAACGCCTGTGATTGGTCAGGAAGCCACTTCCTTTAAACTCATCAAAGCGCCGCTATTCTCCTCTCTAAAATAAAATGTGCCAATCTAGCGGTAGACATGGAGCCGATGGAAGAATGTCTCTCCAACAACATGAACGTTAATACACCTGTACGATGGTACGCAGCAAACCTTTTAATCATGGGTTTGGAGGTGGAGGATGGACGTGTCTCTGAGCTACAGAAACACAATATAAACAGTAAATGCACGATGGTGGACCAGAGATGGGACTACAATGGTGGCAGGATACCCCCGAGAAAGCGTTACGCCCTCTCTCCCAGGTAACGGAGAAGTCTGAAAGGACAACGTCTCCGAACACGGTTTATTCCAGCCATTAGACCAGCTGGGACCAGGTCTAAAGGTCCAGTAGCAGCAGCTCGGAGTGGTGCATTCACTGACCTGGAGGAGGCGGTGGCGTGGGACTCTCTGCTGGGTCTTCTGTCCTCAGAGGGTCCACCCTGTGCTTCCTCTTCAGCTGCAGCTTGCTGCTCTTCTTTTTGCTTGGTTCAACTGCTGCTGGAGGACACGGAGACTTTTAGAGGTCCATAAAACCTTCTCCCACCATGGAAACAACACTGGAATCAAAGTCCCAAGTAATCTGATTACAGCTTCAGGCGTTTCCAACAACCCTCCTGCAACACTCACAGGGAGCTGAGTTTCCTGCTTCCTCCTTGTTGTCCTCCTCCTCCTGCTCCGACTCCCCCCTCAGGCCCTCTTGCCTCTTCTTCTCCTGCTCTTGTTCCTCATTCTGAAACAGAAGCAGATTTGGAGTGTTAGCTCCCCCTCAGAGGAAAGCATGATGGGTAGAACGTCTTAGAGAGGGTGTGGACCTTAGAATCCACAAGTCCTATGGGTTGGAAGAGGTTCTGGATGTTTTCCTCATCTCCTCCTTCTGATTGGTCTGCTCTGCCCTCCCGTTCTGCTTCTTCACGCTCCTGCCGCTCTCTGAGGACATGAGGCAAAGTCATTCTTCTGCAGAAGACTTCTTTATTTAGAATAGCTTCTTTTAGAATGGAGCTGGGGCTCCACTTCTCCTCCCATGACCCCTCCCCTCTCCCACCAGAACTCCCACCTCTCCTCCCGTATCCTACGGACTCTCTCCGCCCGCTCCTTCTTGTCCTGCTCCTCCAGGCCGCGCTGCTCGGCCGTGTCCTTCTGCACACGCTCAGCGATGGCCTCGTAGTCTTTGGCGATGTTGTTGAGCAGCCAGCTCAGGCCCTTCTTGATGGACTTGTCCACCTTTTTGCCGTAGCCTAGAACAGCCGAGCAGGGCTCCTGGGACAGGGACCAGGGACTAGTTAGGGTTAGTTAAAGATGACCTGTAACCAAACACGTTGCTGTAAACACTCACGATTTGACAGAGACACTTGTTGTCATTGACCAGCTTCTCTAAGGACAGGTTCTCGATGAGGTCTGCTTCAGCTAGCGCCCCCTCCTGGTCCTGTTTGTTTGCAAGTCTGGATAAATCACAGATGTGTTATAACTGATGCATCCGGTCACAGAGAGGATGGATGTCCAGGTGTGGGTGGTCTTATGGACATGAGACTGCTGGTCACGTCACTGGGTCTAGGACCTTCCAGAACCAACAAGCAGCACAAACCCAGACTATCACTTCTAGCCAACACGGATGGAGCACTCACACTAGGACAGGTTTTCCAGCAATGCGTGGGTGCTGGAGGACCTCCGCCATGGTTTCCCGTGTCTCCTGGATGCGCTGGACGTCAGTGGAGTCCACCACAAACACCACGCCGTACGACTCTGAGTAGTAGTTCTTCCAGATGCCACGGATTCTCTTCCCACCGCCCAGGTCAAAGATGGTCACCTCAAACTTTCCCCGTTTCAGGTCGACTCTGGAGAAGCCCACAGTAGGAGCTATGTTCTGAGGGCTTTCTGGAACACAAAGCATTCAGGTTGCTGAGTCAGGGCGCCTTGGGCTGCAAGGCTTTAACTGAAATTCAAGTCTCAAACGGTCACACTAAACATTTAAAACTGGTCCGTTTGTCCATCAGCGTGCCTTAAGAACACTGAACACAACTTGCCTTCTTCAGGCAAAACAGCAAGCATACAACATAGTTTCCATTTAGGAATGAGCTCCGATGAACCCTGAAAGAAAAGCATTGTGCTGGTTCTGCTGCTGCAGCGTCTGAGAGGGATTTGTCTTTTCCTCTTCTCGTTTGCCTTCAAACGTGCTTTCATCACTTCAGTCACACTTTGTTTGATCCTCTCTGCAGCGGAGAAAGCTTACGTCAGGTCCACGAAACCCAGAGGGAACGTCCTGCTCATCGTTCAGTTTTCTTCACTAGTGACTAACTGCAGGTAAGATGACGCTTTTCAGTGTTTTATTGTTGATGACATTAAAATAAGGTTGGAGGTTTGTTCTCTGCCACTGGATAAGCTGATCGTGACAGCTGTGTGTCGTTGGGGTTCCAGACTTGTTTTGTTACCGAGCTCTATCGTGGCTTATTATTATTATTATTATTATTATTATTAAAATGGCAGGTCCGGCTGAATCAGTTGAGGGACATGTGTTGACACCAAACCACAGGAGATGTTCTGACTAAGCTGCAGTTCACAGGGGAACGAGGATCTGCTGTAATGAGTGTTTCCACCAGTAGACTTCAACACGTCTGCCGAATGATTTGGGCAATAATCAGATTTTCATTTTACTTCTACAAAAATGCTAACTCTAGATTACATGTCACAGAAAACGGGGACGGCTTGCCATCAAGTGGTTATTTTTTAGAAATCTGGTCGTGTGTGTGCGGAGCGGCTCGCTGGCTGATACCACAGATGTGACTAAAGTTCTGCTTCGTAGCGTGACATCATTCTATTTATGCTTACCTCAGACTTCTGAGGAAATGTATCTTCTAAATCATTAACCCTAACCCATTCATCTGGTAACTATTTTCATTTTCCACCTTTCTTTTAGCCGAGGATTGAGATCACACCATCTTCCCGTCCAAAGACCTGCAGAGGAATAACGGATGAACGTGCTAACCCTAACCCAACCCTCGACTCAATAAACAGGTTTCCAATCGTCAGTGACAACAACCAGGAGTCGAGACTAAACCAGCTGACATTGGTGGGTGACCACAAAATTGTTTTGTTTTTCCTCTTTTTTTATTTTTTGGCCATTTCACAAAATTCAGAAAAACGTGAAGGAATCATAAGCCTGTATTTATAATATTATGAATTAAATGTGCGTTATATGGAAGAACATCAGCCATCTCATACAGTTGATTCAGACCCCCCCATCCCCCGTCTGTTTCATTTTGGAGAGACCCAGAGGTGAATTCCCCCACGCCCCTCCCTATTCTCTTGTTCACACACACACGGTGCTCGTTTGAACCCTCTCAGTGAGCAGGAGTGCCTGCAGCTGCAAGGGGCGCCAACGTGCTGGTTCCAATCCAGACACAGTGATATCTGACAGATAGAAAACCATGTTGCGGTGCAGGTTTCTTTTTTTCTTTTTTTTACCCAGCGATTGTGCGCCCCCTTTGTGTCATAAAATAAATGCCGCCCCGGGCAGCCGCCCGGTCTGCCCGTGCCTAAAACCGCTACTGGATATAACTCAAACCAGCATGACCGTGGCTGCTGTCGTTTTTCTTTTTCCTCCCCGACACACAACAACGCGGTCAAGCTGCTCAGACGCTGCTCCATGTTCATCAGCACAAACCTATGTGGGCACCTGTTGTCATCTAATGTTGTCATTATGATGATGAAGATGAACAAAACAACAGGAGTCTGCTCCTCAGCTCAGATCAACCCCATGATGCAGGTATCTGGCTGGAACAGGTGAGCATCACAGTAAACCAGTGGAACAAACTGAGCTTTAAATATGTTGGTTTTATGCTCTTTTTCTGCTCCAAAACATGAAAGTTAACAGGTGAGATGTTGCATTTTCATTTAAGATAAAATGATATTTTTATTTTGTTGTTGGCCCGTGAGAAAAGATTTAACCTACAGTAATCAGGAAGTGGAAAGGCTGCAGATAGATGAATAGAATAGAAAATCCCTTTATTGTTCCTCAGTGGGGAAAGCTAGACGTCACAGCAGCGATGACACTTATTACAGGAGAAAAAAGGAGAATAAAAAATAAGAAAAATGAATAAACAAGAAAAGATAAATCCTGAATAGATTTTAAAAATGCTGAATATACCACAAGTAATGAATACCACTGATGTGTTTTATTTGTAACTGACTTGCTCGTGCGTAATTTGGTTATTCCACATTCAGTGTTAATGCAGAAATATGTTTGTTTCCAAAATTAAAGGTTCAAAATTGCATAAATGTTGATAAAGAAAATGTAAAAATTTGCTGTCACTTTTTCAAAAAATATTAAGTTTGGCCCTCGACTTCCAACCCTTAATGCTGAGTGTCAAGCAGGGAGGCATTGGGTCCCATTTTTTAAAAGTCTTTGGTATGACCCGACCAGGAATGGAACCCTGACCTCCCAGTCTCAGGTCGGACACTCTACCACTAGGCCACCGAGCTAAACAGAATACCCACAAAACCGCGGTAAATGTGAAAAGGTTCGAGGGCCGGTGTCGGTACAGGATCTGCTCGGGTACAAGATCGGCTTGGGGTCCTTCGACTGCCGATGACGTCAAAGTAGTTGATTGGCTGAACATGAAGCTTACGGAAGTTACGTTATCACGTTATGATTTTGATTGGTCAGAACAAATTTGCGGTCGTAGTCTTAGCGGTTGTAGTCCTGTAGTCCAAAAATCAACACTTTTTGGAGAAAATCTGTTTGAATTTCTAAAGGAAATGTAAAATATAAGCAAATGATAAACGGTGACCCTCAAAAGCTCTTGATGTTGATGAAATGGGGCAAAATAAAATATAAGAACGTTATTGAAAGACACCAAGCAATATTTTGAGTCAAAGAATGTATTTAGATAACAACTAAGGAAATATACAGACGAACTCCACATTAATACAAACAGATATGGCTTCACATATAAGGACTGTTCTATTTTTTGTCGATCCGATGTTGGTTTTATGCAGTTTCACATTCTTAACAAAACAAAGATAATATGGTGTTTTATGAACAAATTACAATCATAAAGAAAACATTTAGGTGTTAACAAACAAGAATTTATTAACAAAACTGCTGATATCTTTCCAAAACGTATGTGTGAAAGCCGAGTAAATTTGCAGTAATGTGACGTCATCGGCAGTCGAAGGACCCCGAGCCGATCCTGCACCCGAGTAGAACCTGTACCGACACCGGACAGTGGAGGTTCACTTTATATATAAAAGTAATGCGTCTAAAATAAATCCATAATCATTGATACGGTAAAAACCGGTCATCCTCTGAGTAGATCAGTGGCAGACTCACCTCCCTGGATTCCTCTGACTGTGGCTGTTTTTCCTGCATTATCCAGGCCCACCATCACTAGAGTCACTTTCCTGTAAAGCGAGAGGGGAACACACAACCATCACTCCAACCATTAGACACAGCCGTGCTGCAGCTGCACCAGGTTACCTCAAAGAGCTAGCTGGTAACCAGAGCGCTAACGGTGCATCAGTCTCCAGGAGAAGCAGCAGACAAGACAACACAGTGATGCTGTTTAGGGCCCGACCGATATGCTTTTTTTGGGACCGATACGATATAAAACTTTTAACAAAGGCCAATAGCCGATATGATGGCCGATAAATCCCCCTCACAAAAAAAGAAATAAAAATTTTCTTAAGCTTAAACCCTTCATTCTCTGCCTTTTTGATGCAAACATATTTCTCTGTTACACACCAAAGAACTGTCTCAACTACTCACTAGGGTTTCCAAGTAATGCAAATAAGATTTATTTAGCAGATCTCAAAAACAACAGAACACCCAAACTCAGTGACAGCATGAATCTAACATTCAAGTTTTTCTTGTAAACTGTGGTTTCCACAAATACATTTTAACTTAAAGGAATATTCCACCGCTCAGTAAAGTTGTGTCTTGTTAAGATTCCCCAGAGTTAGACAAGTCAGAAAAAGCATTTTATAACCAGCCCAATATGATCTGGCAGCAGTTGGCTTTCTAGTTTAGCATAAAACAATGTAAGTGAATTCACATACAGTGTAGTGTTTTTATGTAGGTGTGAATGCAAACCTTCCCTTCCATTGCTTTATGCTAAAACAACTGGTTATAAAATGTTTTTCTGACTTGGCTAACTCTGGGGAATCTAACTACACACACAAGTTTAGGGACAGAAGATCCCTTTACGAATATTAAAATAATAAAAATGCAGCAATAAATAAAAGGTAATACTTGTGCTTTGTAACAAAGTAACATTCTGTGGAAGTTAACCTGGTGAACTTATTCACCCTGGACAGGAAATAACTGCACATAAGAAACATAAATAAGAATAAATTTAAAAAAAAAGTTCCAAAACAATCATTTGTGTTCAAAGTTCAAAGGAGTGGAGCCACACATGAGTTCATAAAGCTGGCGCCATCTGCTGGATAGGTAGCGCAATATCGGCCATATCGGCTGTCTTTTTGGCCGATAGCCGATACTGTTAATGACCCCAATATCGGCCGATAATATCGGCTGGCTGATAAATTGGTTGGGCCCTGCTGTTAGCTCACCATTTAGACAAAGCTTCGATTGACTCAGGGTAGATTATTGTTAACACACACACACACCACATACTTAACTGTGAAATCTGCGCCTAAAGGACATGAAACGTACGATCCATGCTACTGTCCTCTGGAGCCAGCTGGCCTTCATCGTGGGTTAGGCTGCTGCTGTTTCTAACACCCACCCCCTCACCCCCCTCACACACACACACACACACACACACACACATCGTTGCTCCAGACCGTCCAGCACCAGGGTTCTTCTGGACTGACCCACAGTGAGATTAGTTGGGATTTCTGGCTAATTCCCAAAGGCTCAGACTTCCCACACGAATCAAGTCCTGTTGTTGCTTCAGACTTAACACTCGTTCAGAGTAGAATTACATTAAACACACTCTTCTTCTAAATAAATAAACCACCATGAAATGTTGCTAGGGTGATGGCCACAGGGGAGGGTTTGGGTTCAGTCTAGCTGGAGTGTTGATGCCAGGACACAAACAAACCCCAGCAGGCTGTTAACATCAGCGTCTTCTCTTGGTTCTTCAACAGAAAGTGTTTTACTTGTTCAAAGTTCATCTGGATCTGAGGCCATAAAGATTCAAATCCCTGTTCTATTACTTGTAATGTTATAATCTGCAGCTGTAGGCGAACACATTCAGAAGCTGCCGGAGCATAGCGACGTGGAGGTGAGTAGAGCACGTGTGTGATGCCTGGGCCACGCTATGCTAGCTGATCTGCATCTGTTACTAACCTGTTACTAACCTGTTACTAACCTGTTACTAGAGCCGGAGCCACGCAGAAAGAACCGGTTTCATTAGAACAGTTAGTTGGAGATCTCACTCAAAAAGTCTGACTAAACCTAGGGTTAACCCTAACCATGAACCACAGCAGGTTGTAAGGTTCACTGAACTCACGTGTCTAAAAGCAATCTGGTCTTTATTGTGATCTTTAAGCTTTAAAGATCGTTTAAGCGAAATAAACAGAAAATATCCTTCTGACAAAAACAAACCAACAGAAAAGGGATTTGATGTCGCCGGTCTTCCAGGTTCTGACCCATAAAACAAAAGCAGCAGAAATATTTCAAATCAAACTAAGAAAAATGAACGTAATCTTGTTCCTAAGGTGACATTTTAAACGGATTACATCCCAGTAATGATTTTAAAGCTTATCTGGTCGAGCCAAACGACCCGCGGCCCCGCCGTAGGGAACCTTGACCCCGTCTGTGTGTGCGGGCCGGGCGGAGACAAATCACTGCCCTCCTGTTCGTGTCCGAGGCAGGTTTCCGGTACCGGCTGTGTTGTGTCATCTCCTCACCTGGCGGGCTCTCGCCAGCGCTTCAGCCAGGCGCAGCAGTTCGCCATCAGGCTGAACATCTCAGTCCGCGGTCCAGGAGCGCATCTGATCCAGATCCCCGCGCTGCTACATGGTGTCCAGCTAACTCCTCAGGCTAACACGCAGATTTCACACAGACCACCAGAACCAATAACCGATGTCGGGTCGATACAGGATCAGCTGTAGCATGAATCCCGTTACCTACCGTTAGCTGAGGCTAATCTAGCTGCTTAGTTTCAGTCTCCAGTGAGTCTGTCGACGGTATAATAATAGTTTCACTCACCGATAATGATAATAAAATGTTCACGTGCCACCAAATACTCCCGTTTTACCATTTTACCCACCAAGCATCGCACATTTAGCTCCTAGCTGATGGTTTTGTTTACGCCGACGTTTCTGCTGCTAAGCTGCGGACGTGATTACGTCATCAGCGTGCGCTACGTCTGCTGCCGGGGACATGAAAAGGAAAACAAACATGGAGCCTTTTGTCAGAAGCTAGAGCATAACTTTTACTATTTACAATGTTTCCGGTTTTATTCAAGAATAATTTTATTCCAAATGTGTTTGTACTTCTACATGATGTATTCTTGTGCCAGAGGATTTTCTACAGCGTTTGGAAAAAAAATAACTACAATACTACTGTAGTAAAAGTTTTAACTATTTTGTCAGAGCAAAAAAACATGTATTGTGTTTATCAATGAGTACAAAATAAAACCTTCCCATTCAATTATTATCAAGGAGGGTCATTTTTTAATTATGTTAAGCAAACAAGGAAGTGGCAATAAATAAAGTCCCATTAGTTGTCAACACACCGGTGTGTGTGTGCCATATTTGACCATCCCCTGGGGGAGCGGTGAGCTGCAGACACGCGCTCAGGTGTGGTGGTTTAACCCACCAATCCAACCTCTTAAAGGTGTTGGCCAGACTGGTGTTGGCATTAAAATAGTAGAAATGCAGGACACTTTACCATCTACATAAATATGAACTGGGTTCAGTTTTTCATTTGAAGGACTTTTGTCATAAATCAGTGCAGAAAATCTAAATCCTCTCCTGTGTTCTGCATACATCACTCCCACACGTAAAGCAAGGTAGCTGCTGTTGCTAGTGTTGTGAGTAACTGTTTTTGTTTACTTTTGTGCTAGAATCTACAGCTGCAGCAAAAGGTCTGGGCCACATATCCGTGTCCTACATGCATTTTAAATAACAGGCAGAGGTGGAAAGACTACTAAAATTTCCTACTTAAGTACGAGTACCAATACTTTGATCATTTTTTACTCAATTACAAGTAAAAGTACTTGCCTACATTTTTACTTAAGTAAAAGTAAAAAGTATCGTAAACAAAATGTACTCAAAGTAAAAGTTACTTAGTTACATTTTTGTCAGCGTAAGGATGGCTACATCTAAGTAGTGCTAAATCACAACGCCAGTTCACAATTCGCTCGTGTGTGCGCGCGCACACACATACACACACGCTCAGCTTGAAGGAGGGATTTCTATCCAATCAGTGAGAACAGGACGTGCACATTGATTGGACGAGGTTTTTCTAGGATGGTAAGTTTCAACTGTGGTTAAAATTATTCTTTATTTTGAGAAAAAATAATTTATTAAGATACCATCAGTGTGTGAGGTATCTCAATGTTTTCATGACAAAACTCTAACATGAGACTGTGCTCTAACCTGTCACATAACATAACAAGCCTAATGCAGTCAAACATTTCAGATGGACCGTATGACAGCTGCTAACGTTGGCCCTGCACTACTTTACCTCTACATTACAGTTCCTTTATTCGTGTCCATCCAAGAGCTCCTCTCTGACCTTCATGCTTATTTAGAGCAGCTGATTTTTAAAGTTAGCAGAGTTCATCCTTGGTAGTGGGTTCACTCACTCATTTAACCCTTCACCACTGAAATCAGTGTGTTCATTCCAATCCTCCTAAATAATCCTCCAATCGTCCAACTGGAATCCTTAAGGGTCTCATAACGTCCATCCTGTCAGAACAGGCCTTGGGAGCCCAGGTGTTACTAGAACTAATGATGTCTCCTCACCAGCGTGAGCCTCCAAACTGTGAAGGTTGGTCTCCAAACATGAACTTTAAATTCATGCATTTATCTCCTCTTGCAAAACTTTAACATGTTTTAAAAGGCTTGTATCATGATAAGTTACACCTCCCAGACCAAAGATAAGATAAAACATTATCATAAACACTGCAGAGACGTCATTATGTATGAAATATGTTATTTTCCTGAGCCATTACTTCAGCCAAGATATAAGATGCATGGATTTGATGAAACCACGCTGTCTCATGCAGTCCTATATGTGTAACACACACACACACACACACACACACACACACACACACACACACACACACACTTTTGAATGACTAATTTAACTACATTGAACTGCTTTAGTAATAATTGAATCTCTTATTCTGGAGAAAAATAAAGAAACAAGCTAAATCATCACATATCTGTAGCATCAAGATCGTTTTAGTTTTATCCTGCTTTAACAAACCTGAGGCAATCAACAGGTTTCTGCAGAGCCTGATGAGCTGCTGCACAGGTGATTCAACCACTGTATCTAGAGCGTTGGAGAAGAGACACCACTAAAACGTGCTGGAAGCCGGCCCTCCAGGCCCAGAACTGAACAGCCCTGGTGTAGAGTAAAGAACTGTCTCCAGTAGAACCTGTCTGACATCATGGAGGCAGACAGACCTCAAAAAGCAACACATCAAACAACACTGATGAGACAACAGATGTCCTGGATGTGTGTCCTACATCTGGTTTAAAATTAACTGTGTTGTAGATTAAAGAAACTGTTGAACCCTGTAATCTGTCTCAGACTCCTGAGATGTGCGTGTGACGGTTCCATTGTCTCTAAAACTGTGTGTGCAAACCTCCAAAGATCATTCCAAAAAGGTTCTGTTAAAGAATTTGCACAAGATGTTTTCTCTTTGGAGTAACGACTCAGCAAAATGCCAAGTCATAGTGACTTGGGAACCAATGATCCAACCTTCATAGGTGTTTCTGGTTAGAGAAATGTGACTCACTCTGGTATAAATACACCCTGATCCCCGAACTTCTGTCCTATCGGGGTTTCGGTGTGAATCTGACAATATGTTCCAGTGAGCTGCCAACCCTTTGAGCTTCCCTCTTTCTTTGTGAGTACCTCATGTAAAACAACTTGTTTCACATCACAGCATCAGACACAAGGCCGGATTAACCATAAGGGCAACTGGGCAATTGCCCAGGGCCCACGAACTCTAAAGGGCCCAGGGCAGCAAGGGCACGAGCAAAATGCTGTATCTGTAATCTCCTGCTTTATATTAAACTAGTGTGACCGTACGTCCTGTTTTCCCCATACATGTCCACTTTTCACGCTCTGCCCGAGGCGTCCGGACTGGGGGTTCTTGATGAAAATGTCCAGCTTTTCATCCAGGAGCAGGGATCGAATTATGGGGGAGCTGGATATCCTACACATCCAGGGGAGCCGGAAAAAAGTTTTATACCTATATTACATCATTTATGGACTCTTTTGAGCAGAGAGCGGCAGAGCGCTGATCGTTGTGGCACAGCGCTCCAGGCTGCTGCTTCCAGAGCACGGTCCATTCTCAAAGTGGCGCAACCAAAAAACTATAATTAACACACGATCGTTCATGTCCGCACATGTTCTCTATTTTCTGTCTTATTTGTGCCTGAAGCTCTCTGCTACTGCGGAGCATCGAAAACGTGCTCTCCGCGTTGCGGTCAGGAGATCCCTTTGATCTGCTCAGAAGTAACTGATGAGGTGAAAAAGTAAGAATCCAGGCAGCAGTTTTTCTGGAGAGTTTAGAGGAGATGCAGGAAGATGAGAGACAGACAGGACAGGAAATAGTTAAATAAAAACAGGAAAACTAAACTAAGTGTTGAAAAGTAAAATGTAGGTAGATTTATCTCCACTACACGTTTTTACCTGTATAAAACAATAAGTTATACACATGTAATAATTATACATCTGATACAATTCAGATCACCTTCAAAACTCAGTCACACACCCAGGGCCGTTTCAAGACATTTTGGGGGCCAAGGCAAAATGACAGCTCAGTCCGCGTCCGGTCCATCCACGCACACACAGACAGTAACGGATCTCTCTGTGCTCGCTTCACTGTTCACGTTTCTTCAGTACTCCCAATGTTTTCTTCAGTTTGCTAAAGTTACTTTAAAGTTATTTAAAGTTACTTTTTTCGTAACGTACGTGGTGCATTTGACAAGACAGAGCTGAAAACGGCTCGTGCTGCGTCAGTCACTGCCTCCTCTCCGGTCGGGTTTTTTTTCCTCTCTCTCTCTCTCTCTCCCCTCTTCCTCAGGATCCACTTCCTCTTTCCTATTCACTCTCTCTCTTTCTTTACATTTTTAAATCACAATTGTCTATTTTTTGCTCATTTTAAATATATTTTAATCATTTTCTAAATTCTTTTTTCTATTTTACATGTGTTGTTTTTGTGAAGCGCCCCGTGATTTTTATCTTGAGAGGCGCTATAGAAAAGATCTTTTCTTCTCTCGCTCTCTCTTAATTCATGCACTTAAATATTAATGTTCTGATTTTATTGAAAACCTTGTTCTGCAATAGCTCCTTTACTATTGTGATCAAAAACATTTAATCTCAACTCTGAGGGTGCTCTGTAAATAGTTTTCAAATAAACAATACACATAGCAACTTCTGATCAGACTTAAAATAACGTATTGATGTAAACCACACCCACTTCCGGTTAAACTACACCCACTTCCGGGTTAGGCCACGCCCACTCCGAGTACAGATACAGATGCAGATAATTTAGATGGTTGAACAGATACAGATAGTGGTGTACTTGCTCATCCCTAGTGACCAGATTATGGTGATCCGTGGGTCATGATGATGGGGTCCTTGAATATTGTTGCCCAGGGTACAACGAAGTGTTAATCTGGCCCTGGTCAGACATGGTGGTGGTAGTGTGATGGTCTGGGGGCTGCTGGACCACTGACACTGTTGTAGATCTAGCTCAGATTTGGACTTTATTTAACTGATGACATCTTCTGTTCCTCACATCCAACATGAAGGTGTTGGTTTAACCTGCAGCTCACCTTTGCTGCCTACATCTCCTACGAATGTTGCACTTTCACACAAACGCTGTGATTTCTAGAGCTTTTGCAGGACTTTAGGTCCATCTTAACTGTAAACATCAACAAGAGTTAATACCCATCTGTGACATGGTGATTATTTGCCTTGCAGTCTAAGCCACATGCCCATCAACCAGATAAGTTTGTTCTTTTTGCTGTTTTGCAGATCTCGCCGTCCTCATGGCTCGTGTCTTATTTTACGGCACTCTGAAGAAGGGTCAACCCAATTATCACCACGTGTTAAACAGAAATAACGGCAATGCCGAGTTTCTCGCCACGGCCATCACCACCCAGAGATACCCACTCGTGATCGCTACCAAGGACAACATTCCTTTCCTGCTCAACCTTCCCGGACAGGGCCAGAGAGTCCATGGAGAGCTCTACCAAGTGGACGAGAAGATGCTGAAGTACCTGGACATTTTTGAAAGCGTCCCTAACCTGTACCAGAGGACTGTTGAAGAGGTTGAGATCACAGAGTGGGTGGGGAAGGAGGAGGAGAAGCCACCAGGATGCACCATAGACGCGTTTGTGTACAGCACCACAACCTACCAGCCCAGCTGGCTTTCACTTCCAACCTACAAGAGCTACGACTCTTATGGAGACCACGGCCTCACATACGTGTGCGAGGAAGACTGACAATAAAGCTCGTTGTTCCAGTAATCTGTACTTTTATTTCATATGCAGCAAATTAAGTGAATGTTTGATGTCATTAGATCAATAATAACTTACGTCTACGTCCTTTTGGCTAGCAACAACAAAAAAGGTGAAACAACAGAAAATGTATGTTTTAGCATGTTTATGTGCTACAATAACTCAGAAGGTGTCCTAGTACAGAGAAATTTAATCAATTTTAGCGAGCCACAAACACCGAACAGCTACACATAGTGCAACCTGAAAACAGGAAATGGCTTACCCCAGATACTGCCACCTACAGGACCAGCAAACAGCTGTGACATATATATATATATATATATATATATATATATATATATATATATATATATATATATATATATATATATATATATATATATATATATGTCTGTGGCGCCAGACAAAGTTAACGTCCCATAGTCATCATCACACACTGGTGAAGTTCATCTCCATATTTAACTCATCCCCATGGAAAGGAGTGGTGAGCTGCAGCAGTGGCTGCGCTCGGGAACTATTTGGTGGTTTAACCCCCAATCCAATCCCTTAAAGCTGAGTGTCCAGCAGGGAGGTGTTGGTTCTCAATGTTAAAGTCTTTGGTATGACCTGAAGGGGATTGGAACCTCGATTTCCCAGTCCCAGGGCGGATACTCTACCACTAGACCACTGAGCTGGTGTGATATGTCACGCAGTTGCACATAGTTGGCCACCTGGTTAACCAAACCAAACCAGCTCCTGATGTCCGTGGTCAAGGTTGGCACAGGGAAATTCCTGTAGGCAGGTAGGTACTTTGGGAAGGGCTCAATCGTAGCATCAGAGATCCTAAACCCAGCAATATCTACATCCCTCTCTGCAAATTGAAACATGGACGGGTTCAGCACAATGGCAGAGCGACCAGTGTGGGTCAGGATGTCGATCGTTCTCCACCAGTGCAACTTCAGATTGGAGTCAGAGTGGATAGTTTCATCAACACACCGTTCTTTCCGCTCGAAATCAGAGAGGATTGCATCAAAGCGGCGACTGTAGCCATCGCCAGACGACAGGAAGCCCTTCGGGGCCCTGGTGTAACGCCAGCGGCCAAAAGGTGAGATGAAGGTGGTGAGATGAAGGTCAGCGAGGCCTTCATTCAGTGATTGTTCTCCGGGGAGCATGGAGACATGAGCTCTGCAGGGCGCAGAGGGGGGGCACTACGTTGGGGACACGAGCATCGAGATGGGCACCTATGCCTCCATCACGGTTTTCTGCGGGTCGTGTGGCGTCGACAAGCCCACCGCAATTACTGAAGGCACCAGGATCACGGCCAACTTCAAACCCCCCTAGGGAGCAAGCCAAGGTCAAGCAACGAAGGACACAAATATCTAATAGAATAATAATATTTTAAAACCATGAAGACGTTCAGCTTCACACGGACACAAAACCAACCGGTGTCAGATGCTGTAGTTCATACCTGTGGCCACTAGGTGGCAGCAAAGATCCATACCCGATTCATCCAGCTGTAGTGCTTCACATCTCCACCAGGTGGCAGAACAACGCCATAAAACGTTTGTAAGTACTTTCATTTGTTTGTTTTAACCCTTTAACACCAAAGCACAAGGAGCTATTTCTCTGATTATTAGTTTGAGGGTATAAGGATTTTTAAAACTTTATAATTCTCATCAACAACCAAGGACGTAGGAACAAGTTTAATATTGGGGGAGCGGGGGGGGGGGGGGGGGGGGGGGGGGCTTTTGGAAATCTAACAAATCTGTTGTAGGTCAACCTCACTGAAAAAAATACATTCAATGATTATTTCTGAATCTAACAGGTCACTCTTGAGTGTTTCATGCAGGCTGAACATGAAAATAGTCTCCTACACCTATCTCTAGCTTCTGGTAGAAAACAGACGGTGAAACTCTGGGATATGAAAAGCCTGACGGATGTGACTCAGGGTGTAAGACAAAGCCCAGAAAGACAAGAAAATAATCTTTCTAGTCCAGTTCACTAACATTTGTTTTTTTTGGATCAGGGACCCATGAGCCAACCAGAAGGGGAGGAGACTTAGGCTCCCCATCAGCCAGATCCAGGTTTGATTACCGGCCAACGTGGACGTTTTATTATAAAAAAAAGCTGTTTTTACATCAGTACTGTTTTATTTTTATTTAATAGTATGAATGTAGGATATATTATCTTATTCATATGGGTAGATATGTGTAAATAAATTTAATACAAGACTAAAGCTGTGAATATTCAGTCTGAATTGATCTGACTCTTATCAGAATATTTTAAACTACATCAGCCAACAATCTGAAAAATCTGTTTGCTTCTGGCAGAATGAAAAAAGAAATAATTCACTCACAGCAACAGCTGGAACTACATTATTATTCAGATGGCCAAAAGCAAAAACAGCACCAGAATGCAGTTTAACACTTATTTTTCTAATATTTCTAAGGAAACATGTACAGAATTTATTTTATTCTTAAACCGTACTGCCCAGCTTTACGTGTTATGGGATTACATAAATGTAACCGTGTTCACTTATTATCACATTCAAGTCTTCCTCTCATCAACCACCTAAAATCATCTCACTCCACTGTAGCACCTACCTGCACCTCAGGTCTGGCTCTCCGTCTCACCCTCAGCAGGTTCCTGCTGAACATCATCTGGTCTCTAATATGAAAAAAGTGACATAAGATTTAAAAATAAAATGTGATGAGATTGTCTCAACGAAGCAACAATCACACCTACTAACTCCATTTTTATGTGGAGATTCTACTTTTTTTATTTATTCCGTGTCAAACGGTTTTCTGTTATTGTCAAATTCTCCATATTTTGTTGACTAGTAGTGTTTATGCTGCCTAGCAAGATGTTTAGGTTAGTCAGCCAGTCTAACGTTTGACCAGAAATACAATTATCCTCTTGGACTTAATTATTACCAACTCACATTTCCTTTTTTTTTTTTTTTTTTTTGCCCATGAGAAGAACGCGCTGAGCTGCTGCTGCGTCATCTCTGACACGTGTGTCTGCCCCGCCTCCTATTTCACTCAGCCAGCCTGACTCCTGAGGGGAGGGGCTGTGTCGATGAGAAGTCCGTGGTGTCTTTCAAAATAAAAGCTCGTGAGTCAAATATTTCAAAAATCAATTTTCTTCTCCATTATATTGGGGGGACAAATGCGAGTTTGTCCAATATTGGAGGGGACACATCGTCGTCATCCCCCCGGCTCCTACTCCCTTGTCGACAACAAACCACATCGGCCCTTGAACTGAACGCTGTATTTAATAATTTAGTCCACCATGCATAAACCATATAGAAAATACTTTACAGCAATGACAATAAAAACTTGACATTTGATGACGCTAAAAGTAGCAGGTGTCACAGATCAGTGAAGGCTCAGGAGTTAGTAGAACATGGTTCCCTGTCTGAGAAGGAAACAACAGTAAAACAAAGAAAAGCACATTTGCTCTGATTCTGGAGGCCCCCGACAAAAATGGGGGCAAAACTAAGTAAACTAGGGTTTTAAACAAAAGGCCACACCTTCAATCCTTCAAATGGCATTGTTCTACATCCTTCATATGAGGAAATAACCAACTTCATCTAAACCTAGCAAGGACTAAAACCTCCACCTGTCCCTCTCCTGAGAAACAGTCCAGGAAGGAGTCGGGTTCTACTTCATCCCACGGCATCGTCGTCATGTCGGTGTGAAGGGTTAGCGCCAACCCTTCTCTGATCTCCAGAAAACAAGCTGCCAGGACATTATAACAAAGGCAGGCGGCTCCAACAGCAATTACACAGCAGCAACATCGTAATAAAAACAACAAAATGAGGATTTCAGTCTAAATGAACGTGTGAATTAACCCTCAAATGCCAAAGAAGAGAGAGAAGAGGAATGAAAACAGTAGGTCCAGATCACCTTAGCTCCAGAGGAACCAACGCTGGTGGAGCAGAGTCTCCCTGTGAAGGTAACCATTCAGGATGAATGGGTCTGATTTAATAACATCACAGGAAAAAGATGCAGAAACGTTTAAACCCAACAGCTTCTCCATAAAATAATGTTCTGATGAAGAACGTTCACAAATCAGGTTCTGCTAAATCTCTAGGGTGTGGTTGGAGGACATGCAGGGAAACACGTCTTCCTTCATGTCTCCAGATGTCTCAGAGTCTTTGCCTCGCTCCATTCCCTCTCCCTCAGAACAGCACGTCTTCATTGGTGATGAGCGCTTCCACCACCAGCCTCTGGTATCTGATGTCATTCAGCGCCGTCATGGCGTCCAACTCGGGGGCCCTCATCAGGGTGGGGCCGAAGACGATCCCCAGGTTCTCGCTGGACATGAGGTTGTCCTTCTCATACTCCGTGACTCTGGGTGGACAGGAGGAGGTGTTACGTTAAAACAGAGATGGCTGCAAGCTGACATGGGTCACCATCGGACTCTCCCGGTTCCAACTGGTTATGCAACCGAACGTTAGAACTCAAGATTCCTAGCATGTGCTGACCTCTTCAGGTGAGCCATCAGGTATCGCAGCGTCTCAAAGTGAGCCGGAGGCAGCAGCTTCAAAGCCTCATGGAGAGACTCCAGTCGTTTGTCCGGGTCCAAAATCTCTGAGACGGAGAAGAACAAGGAGGTTCAGCAGGTACGTTCCAAATAAAAACATGGTACACCTGTCCGAGCTAATGCTAATGCATTAAACATGGTACACCTGTCCGAGCTAATGCTAAGGTGTTTAACATGGTACACCTGTCCTAGCTAATGCTAAGGTGTTTAACATGGTACACCTGTCCTAGCTAATGCTAAGGTGTTTAACATGGCACACCTGTCCTAGCTAACGCTAAGGTGTTTAACATGGTACACCTGTCCTAGCTAATGCTAAGGTGTTTAACATGGTACACCTGTCCTGGCTAATGCTAAGGTGTTAAAACATGGTACACCTGACCTAGCTAATGCTAAGGTGTTAAAACATGGTACACCTGTCCTAGCTAATGCTAAGGTGTTAAAACATGGTACACCTGTCCTAGCTAATGCTAAGGTGTTTAACATGGTACACCTGTCCTAGCTAATGCTAAGGTGTTTAACATGGTACACCTGTCCTTGCTAATGCTAAGGTGTTTAACATGGCACACCTGTCCTAGCTAATGCTAAGGTGTTAAAACATGGTACACCTGTCCTAGCTAATGCTAAGCTGTTTAACATGGTACACCTGTCCTTGCTAATGCTAAGGTGTTTAACATGGTACACCTGTCCTAGCTAATGCTAAGGTGTTTAACATGGTACACCTGTCCTAGCTAATGCTAAGGTGTTTAACATGGTACACCTGTCCTAGCTAATGCTAAGGTGTTGAACATGGTACACCTGTCTGAGCTAATGCGAAAGGTGTTAGTAATGATGTGGCGCTGAAGTGATGGTGTTTTCCAACCACCTACTTCCTGTTTCTATGAAGCGAGGGTAGGCGTCATACGTGATGAGAGGAATAGGAAGCTCTCTGAAGTACAACTTCAGGGCGCCGGTGATGATGTTGATGTCTTCGTAAATGCTGGAGGAGATATCTGCCTTTTCTCCATCTGCAGTGGAATTCAGTTCAGTTCAGCCAAAACAATCAACCACACTGATAATGATGGACATCAGGGGGCAACACTCACCTCTGTCAAAGGTTAACTTGACATCTTCTATCAGCTCACTGAAGCCTGAGATTCTGTACAGACCCTCTGACTGAAGACCTGCCAGAAGAAGTGGTTTGTTACTGAAACGCCTCACAGATGCTGTTCTGTTTGGGGGCGTGGCCTGTAGCTTACTGAAACGCCTCCCGGGTGTTGTTCTTTATGGGGGTGTGGCCTGTAGCTTACTGAAACGCCTCCCGGGTGTTGTTCTTTATGGGGGCGTGGCCTGTAGCTTACTGAAACGACTCCCGGGTGTTGTTCTTTATGGGGGCGTGGCCTGTAGCTTACTGAAACGCCTCCCAGGTGTTTTTCTTTATGGGGGTGTGGCCTGTAGCTTACTGAAATGCCTCCCAGGTGTTGTTCTTTATGGGGCGTGGCCTGTAGCTTACTGAAACGCCTCCCAGGTGTTGTTCTTTATGGGGGCGTGGCCTGTAGCTTACTGAAACGCCTCCCAGGAGTTGTTCTTTATGGGGGCGTGGCCTGTAGCTTACTGAAACGCCTCCCAGGTGTTGTTCTTTATGGGGGCGTGGCCTGTAGCTTACTGAAACGCCTCCCAGGAGTTGTTCTTTATGGGGGCGTGGCCTGTAGCTTGGAAAAACGAGTGCATTGTTCTTTAGTAGTGGTACTCTGTTCCACTGAGCAAAGATTAGCCAAATAAACCTGAAAGAACTCAATGAAATTTTGGAGAAACTGGTGAGAAAGCCCCACCCCTTTTTGGTAAATGGCCTGTATTTGTCTAGCACCTTCTTAGGGTTCTGCAGCCCCCCAAGGCGCTCCACAACACAATCATTCACCCGATGATTGTGTTGTGATGATTCACAATCCATCACCACCAGCGAATGCCCGCTGGTGTTGATGAGCTACGATGTAGCCACAGCTGCCCTGGGGTGTACTGTCGGAAGCAAGACTGCTGAGTACAGGCGCCACCTAACCCTAACCACCGCCAGCAGGTAAGGCGGGTTAAGTGTCTTGCCCAAGGACACAACAGCAGCATTCTCTGGCAGGTGGGATCAAACCTACAACCTTCTGATTACTGCATAAGCCGCTCTACCTCCTGAGCTCCTGCAGCAGATTCATGCAGGGTTTAGGGTTATTCTATCAAAAATACTTTTACTGAGGAACAAAAGGAGTATGAGAGCAGAAGCGGCGGTGAAACAGCCACAACAGGTTAAAGGTTAGCCACTTCAAGAGTTGCTGCTGATTGTTCAGACGAACATGACTCAGTGTCTGGATGTGGCTGCAGCTGATCGGATCCCCATGGGGGCATCTCACCTCTGGCTTCGATCTCCTGGATGCACATGTCGACCACCATGGGCCTCTTGGTGTTGTGGGCTTTAACCAGAGTGGTCAGGTCGCAGCTGTACACCTTCTTCACGTGCCGAAGGTCCGGCTGGCAGTCGTTGGGAACCACTTTGGAGCACTGCTTGTGAACATTCAGCCCACAATCTGACAGGGAAACAAAAGAGCAAGGTTGACCAGGTGAAACGCTGACATCAACACGCCGTCTGTCAGAGAGACCCTTTCAGCGAGGAGATGAGTCAGGAGAGGAGGAGCCACTAGCTTACTGGGTTCTTCCTGGCGGAGACCGACCCATCCTCTACAGTTACAGCAACACCAAACAGGTGTGCTGCTACTGGATGAAGCAGATAGCAGGTCTCTATGAACGTACGAGTGTTGGCTGCTCAGACACAAAGGAAAACACCACAAGTGTAGACCACCCCATGCTCACTCTGGCTTTAGCTCTTCACCACCACACATTTCTCTCCCTTCTCGTGTTTTTGTTGACGATCAGCAAACTGCTAGCTAGCATTAGCTATTCTTTAGGAGAGTAGATCATCATTTGAATCAGAGTGATTCTGACTCCAGTTTAGGGGTGGGCAATATAAACGATATAAGGTAGAAACGATATAAAATTGGGTAACGATAGAGTTTTTGGCTATATCGCAATACCACGATATCGCGATAACACATGGCATCACTAAGATGTGCACCCTGCTTACATTGGGACAACAGAATGGCAGTGACTGCAAGCATGGAGTGGGCGGAGGAGGAAGCCTATTTGCCTCAAGTGGCATATATTTGCCACATGAGGATATTTACAAGCATGTCATTTTGACATATATAAACAAAGGAAAAAATATATCACAATATATATCGTTACCACACATGCTTCAGATTATATCGCAATATACAGTAGATTTGAGGCCATATCGCCTGGCGCTACTCCAGTTCCTCGTTTTGAGTCCAACTCCGAGTCCAGACTCGGTCTGGAGGAAGTTAACCACAGGTCGTGCGTGTCTGACCTTCTCCAGGATTTTGAAGACGCCTCTTGGATGAGACGTAAAACGTCTGAGACACCAGAAAAGTCCTCTGTAACTGACCGTGGTGCCGCCGCACCTTCAGACAAGGTTATTTAATAAATGTTAAAATGACGTAAAGCATATGAGATGCATATATAACCTGTATTTGGCCACTTATACTAACCATAATCAGAGTTTGAACTGCATTTCAATGTCATGAACCATTAAATTTGCTTTATTTTGAAAAACCAACACCACCAGTTCCTGTCTGGCTGCAGGGCGCTGCTCTGAGGAGTGAAGGAAAACTAGAGACCACAGTCCAAAGTAGGGGGAGGGGAAAAGGCTGAGGAAAGGGGCCTAAGGGGCCATATTTGTAGTTCGAGCCTGTGAAAACCAACCTAACGTTCACATGGGTGACCAAACGTCACCGCAGTGACAGACGTGATGGGTGTCATGCTGCGCCGCAGGCGGCAGTTCACTGTGTCTCCGTCATGAGAGCGGCGGTTCGCTTTGGGACCATCAACACCAGGCACAGTTCAAGTTAAGGCTCGTAGTGGCAGACCAAGAAACATCTGGGATAAACAGAAGTTAGGGTTATGGTGAGAACAGGTCCACCCACAGACCAGCACCAAAGACCTACAGCATCATCTGGCTGCATCGTTCAACTATTGGGTGCACTTTACACAAGGAGGTGCTGTATGTGAGAAGGATGCAGAGGAAGCCTTTTCTCCACCCACTGCTCAAACAGGGCAGCACATCTGGACTAGCCAGCTTCATTAATAAGGTGCTGTGGACTGCTGAGACTAACACGGAGTTATTCGGGCAGAACAAGAAGCGGTATGCGTGGAGGAGCAAGAACACCCGCTACCTACAGTAAAGCATGGTGGTGGTTCCATCATGCTGTGGGCTGTGTGGCTGGTGCAGGGACTGGGAATCTTGTTAAAGCTGAGGGACGCATGATTTCCACTCGGTATCAGCAGCTTCTGACCAATGTCCAGGAATCAGTGACGAAGCTGAAGCTACTCCGGGGCTGGACCTTTCAACAGGACAACTGAATCCTGCTCAACATCTACTCAGACGTTCCTCCAGAGGAACAAGTAGAACGTTCTAGAAGAGCTACCTAGGACCCCAGACCTGAACATTACTGAACATCTGTGGCGTGAAGCATCTGACCTGGATGATCTAGAGATAATCCGTAAAGAAGAACGGTCCAGAATCCCTTCAGCCAGAATCCAGACTCTGGTTGGATGCTTTAGGAAGAGTTTAGGGGCTGTTACTGCTGCTAAAGGAGGATCCAATAAATATTATACTCTTTTTAGTGCAGCCCACATGTATGCAGCTGCCTCATTCTGTTATTGCACTTCCATTAAATCCTGCAAACCTTGTTTCACGTCTCAAACATGGCCGTGCGTCTCCTAGAGATGTTTTACCCCAACAACCAACGACTCACACAGGAAATCATGAAGACTGTCCAAACCTTCACCGTTTGTGATGTTCTTCAGTAGCTTCTACATGAATTGATCTAAATAACATTTAAGATTTTCCTCTATCTGCTCCTCTTCACTCATTAGTTGTGACTGAGGCGTATTTACTACATTACACATTTAAAAGAATGAAATAATATTATTGAACCAAGTCCCAGCAGGGTCACTAAACTACGCACATGCAGCTCGTCAGTAGGGTTAGGGTTAGCTGCAGCTTAAGTAGATCTGGGTAAAACCTCCACCAGTCACAGCCCAGCCAGGTCCCAGCTGCACTGGTTTTACTGGTGTGTGGACGATACCTGCACATTTGACTCCCTGAGCGATCAGACCCCACATGAAGTTTGCACAGTACTCGCACCAGTGGGGTCCTCTGAAGGTGTGAACCTGGACACAGCAGAGAGAAACCAGGTGACCTCCCATAAACTTTCAGCAGGGAAGACGAAGGACAGAAAGAGACATGAGACGATCATCAGCTTTATGTTAGCATGTTGATTAGCTCGATTCTTTACACGAGAACATAAATCATCTAAAATGACTAAAATATCGTGTGTGTGTGTGTGTGCGTGCATGGGTGGAGCAGTGTCTCACCTTGAAGCTGTGGACCTTCTCATACTTGGGGGCCAGGTCGCTCTCCCTCAGCGTGGCTCTCCTCACCAGAGACGTGAGCTGGGAAAGAACAAAGGATCTGATTGGTTTCCAGAAAGAGGAGGCAGGGGAGGTGTGTTTGGTGGGTGCAGGTGTCCGGTGGAGGTGGACGGGATCAGAGGAGCTGCTGGACAGGGACAGAGAGGGGATGTCCAAACCCAGAGCAGAAGAAAACACAGACCCTTTCTTCTGTCCTCGTCTGACTGGCTGCTTTTTAGCTTTCCTGGAACGACTCGGCATGCCGGCTGAAAGAACTCTAAGCACCACTCTGAGGGTCTAGGATCCGTGTGGCAGCAGCATCCACAGCAGATCAACGCCGCATTGACTTCAGAAGTAAAACCAGTTCCAGACCGGGTAAGGAGTCCCCACAGATCCCGGCCCACATGGCTCTGTGTGTCAGCCGGCCGTCTCCATCCTCTACTCACACACCCGCTGGGGGGGCTGGGCTACGGAGCACTAATGCGGGAATTTAACAGGTCACAGCAAGAAAGCAGCAGCCAATCAGGTTCACCAGCAGCTCGATCGTCCCAGGAGGGCAGGAGAACGAGTCATTTTTTTTTATCATTCCTTCACACTCTCTGCATCCCTCCATCCTTTTGTGTTTACAGCATCTGTTCCAGTCCAGACTCGAGCGTGCTCCTAGGACCAGAACCCCAGAACGCCAGGTTCTGACCCCAAATCACTAACGCTGACAAACACACCCAACAGGGAATACTTTGGGTCATTCAGAGTGATCAAGGTTTAGAGTCTGAACCGTGTGTGTGTGTGTGTGTGTGTGTGTGTGTGTGTGTGTGTGTGTGTGTGTGTGTGTGTGTGTGTGTGTGTGTGTGTGTGAGAGAGAGAGAGAGAGAGGAACATCAGGTCAAATGATCATAAACATTTGTCCAACGCTGTAGTCTCAATGTCACTGCTTCGTCTGCAGATCCACCCCTTACACACACACACACACACACACACACACACGCACGCACACACACACACACACACACACACACACACACACACACACACACACAGACAGTGATGTATGAGGCGCAGCACACGCAGTCATGCTCTGCAGGTCATACAGGGACTCTACCTGCTTTGCTTGTTGTGCATGTGTGAGTGTGAGTGTGTGTGTGTGTGTGTGTGTGTGTGTGTGTGTGTGTGTGTGTGTGTGTGTGTGTGTGTGTGTGTTTTCTATGAAGCAGCAGAATGTTGAGGCGTTTCAGAAGCACAACAAAACAAAGAAAAGGGTCAGGAGTGACAGAAACAGCAGCATGGAGAGAAGCTAGTGAGGAAGAAGAAGATGAAGGTCCCACCAAAGCCTGAACAGGCGAGTTTAAAGGAGACCACTGAGTCCACTGATCTCAGGCTCAGGGGGAGGGAGGTCCAGAGTCTGGGGGCCACAGCAGCAGATGATCTGTCACCTTTAGCCTGGTGCTGCACAACCAGTAGGCTTCGGTCACTGGACCTCAGGGACCTGCTGGGGCTGTAGGGACTGAGAAGATCACTAATGCAGGTGCAAGTGTTTACCTGGGCCTTATGAAGGCATGGCTGCATTCACCTGTTCTCCTTTCAAACTTCCTGTTTAGAAGTGTTCCCTCTTTTCTGCAGCAGCAGCTTGTGTGTTTGGTGATGATCTTCTAGGAGACAGCAGCTCTGTTATGTAACTTTACTGCAGAGGCCTTGGCTGGAGGCCATCCTCCTCCTCCTGCAGCTAGGCTAGCTCCTCCTCTTTACCCTGACTCTAAGGACTACACAGCATCTAGCCCCAACAAACCGATGATGACTCCTACGGTCTTAAACACTGGACCGTTGCGTAAAGTTGAGTCATGGCGTGTGCTCGCTGGTTTAGTCCCTCCACAGCTGATCCTGCTCACCTCCACCCACAAACGTCTCCTCAGATGCCTGTTAGCATCCACAGACGCTCGCTGTGGCGTTAGCTCGCTCTCACCCGCTCCTCCGTGCTGCATTCATCTTTGACAGGAACAGGACCGTCAGGTGCTTCTGGGCTGAGGGGGAGGAGCTTCTTCGGTGTGGGCTCCTGGTTGAGCGTGGTGTAGCCCACATGTTCGTAGATCGGGTTTATGGTCATTTTAGCGATGTACTCCGCAGCCTGAGAGGACAGGATTAGGGTTAGCGCTGAGTTTGTGCGCACGTGCACACAGAGACACACACACACACCTTGGTCTCGATGTACAGTGTGATGAGCCCGTCTGTCACCAGGTCATGGATAGACTCGAACCTCTTCTCGCCAACAAAGTGTTTCCCGTCATGATAAAGACGGAAGTTTCTGGTCTGGTTGCCAAACCTGGGATGGATCGGAGGAAACAGAATTAAAGGAGATGGTTGGTGCCGACTAATCCACCCGTCAGAGGAGATCTCTGACCACCTGGAGAAGCTTCTGGGAGCCAAGACAGATGTTGGTACATCACACAGTGGTGTGTCCTATAGAAGAGTGAATCTACACATTCTGCTGAAAAACACACCAAGGGAGTGAAGACGGGTCACACAAGTGTTTTAAAATAATGTCGCCGTAATCTACTGAGGGTAGAGAGGCCATTCTCTTCCTGACATGGAGAGTGAAACAGTTAATATAACGACTATGAATGTCGTTATAGACTGTAAACGTGTTTTGAAAGAAGGATCACTATCCAACCTGGCGCTGAGGCATTTAAACGTCTGCACTGGTTCAAGCAGAGATGCATCAGAAAAACACTGAATAAGACTGCGTTACGGCTCTGAGCCGTTTGTGGTTTTGTATTTTTAATTTCTCCTCTGTTTCTGCGTGTGTGTGTGTGTGTGTGTGTGTGTGTTCGTGTGTGTTTCAGCAAGCCTTCAGACAGACAGGCTGTCTCCCGGCAACTTGTTTCTGTACAATTATACTTTTTGTCTATTTAACCACTTCTGTTTAAAAGCTCTTTTTCTTAGTGTAAAGTCATGTCTGTAAACTAAAGACATCTCTCGTCTAAGGGCGGTTTGGTGGAGTTGGCATGAAGCTGGTTGATTAGTTGTAGCTCTATCCGTCATTCCTTCTCCAACTCAACCCATCTAAAACTGAATGACCTCGTCATCCCAGCGAAACCATCCATACGGCGCCATATCCCAATCCAAAATTAAAATCGTGTTGTAGAGCAATTCATACATCTATCATTAGATTTAGCATGATATGAATGAATGAACAAATGAACGAATGAACGAATGAATGACTTTATTTATAGAGCGCATTTCCTGCATGGTAACAACTCAATGTGCTTTTACAGTTAAAGAGACTAAATAAAACAATCAATTATAAAACATGTACACACTTCAACAGCAAATGGTGTATATATACATAAAATATACACATGAAAGTGAAACTATGCATTCAAACATGCTCACACACATACACACACACACACACACACACACACACACACACACACACACACACACACACACACACAGCCATAAAATTAAGCTAAGATAACGGTGGAACATAATTGTAAGCGCTTATTTATGAATAAAAGTATATCTATAAAAGGAGGATATAAACTAGAAATAATACAACCTAACCATATGTTTGTTCAAATAAAAGTTTTTTAATTAATCTTAAAAATATTTGGTGTAGCTTCTTCCCTCTTCTCTAAAGGCAAAGTATTCCAGATCTTAGGTGCATATACACTAAAAGCAGAAAAGTAGAATGTGTACGTGGTACAACAAGATTGCCATGATCTGCAGACCGGAGTGGTCTGACTGGTATATAAGGTACCAGCATGTCTGTAATATATTGTGGTGCAAGGCCATTGAGAGCTTTATATACAAGCAGTAGGATTTTAAAATCAATTCTTTTATATATATATATATATATATATATATATATATATATATATATATATATATATATATATATATAGCACCTTCTAGAGTCCAGGAACCCCCCCAAGGCACTTTACAACACAATCAGTCATTCATCCATTCACACCCTGGGGTGATGAGCTACACTGACAGAGGCGAGTCTGCCGTACACAGGTACCACCGGTCCCTGCGACCACCACCAGCAGGTTAGGTGGGTTAAGTGTTAGGTATGAGTTAAGTGTCTTAGCTATAATCTGGATTAACAAGGACAAATTTGACTGTAAATGTTATCAACACGACTGGATTAAAAAGATCTGTGAAGCTTCAGACAGAAGACAGATCATGAAAAGGTCCAAACCAGACGGAGGAGAAGACGACGGACGTTCTGACAGACAGGCTGAAGTGGGCCGTCTCCTCTAATCATTAACCCAAAACCCAAAACCCAACCTTTCCTTTTGTGCTTCCGGACTGGGACTCTGGTATTTATGGAATGTAATTATGACACATCTATCAATAGACCATCTGACCTAAAACCAGATTCAGATGGAGCTGTGTGCTCATCTCTAAGTGCCACGCCCACTCACGGGAAGCGAAGGCTCCAACTGGAATCTGTGGAAACTTGTTTGGAAAACTGAAGCCAAAGCACCTTCAATGGAGTTGGTGTTTATCCTCTAAAATGGCTCAGAAACACCAAACCCACATCCTCCCTCACAGCCACCAGGAGATTTATTCATGCAGCATCATCGTCTCTATAAAAGCAGGAGTGTTGTCTTCTCTGGAGCATACAGGCGTGTGTTAGCAGGTTTAGGGTAGAAAGGTGCATCTAAATCATCTACTGGACCTCCAGAACTATGTTATTTATGCAGATCAAACCAGAGATCAGACACATTATACCAGCCATCAGCACGGTGGCAGAGGGGTGATGGTTTGGGACTGTCACAGTGAATGATCTGAAGCACAGACCACAGACAGGACCCGTCCCCCCACATGCAGGCTGAGGGAGGCTGCCCTCTTGTTCACCTGGGTAAACCCCAACATACAGGCACCAAGATGGGAGTAACTAGTGTGCCCACCCCTGCCCGGCGCCTCTCAGTGGGAGCAGCTCCAGACTGGTAGAAAGTCCAACCCCTCTCGAGGAAACTGGAGCCAGAGCCATGCGTTGAGGCGAGTCTGACTATATCTAGTTGAAACTTTTCGACCTCACACACGAACTGACTCTGGCACCTAATCAGATGCGAACGCACCTTAAAGCCAGGGTGTATGTCCCCGGCTGTCTCTGGCTCTCTCTGATGAGGTAGCTGCCTTCGGCCTGACTCAGTAACTGATCCGCCTCCTCTCTTGAGATCTTTCCATGAAACCTGGACAGTGACAATAAACAGAGAAGCTGGTCCAAGTACATCACAAAGTCGGCTTCATGTAAAAAAGCAACACAAATACAGACTACTTACTCTCTCCCATAGTATTTTGGTCGGTTTTCAACCTGTAGGGAAACCAGATATGGACAGGATTAGAGTACAATAACCCTTTATTATCCCACGGATGAGAAATTCAAGTGTTACACAGCCTCCTCTGGCCACCTGCGCCCTCCCCAAACTGGCTGCTACTCACCTTTAGCCTCCTAGCTCTAGTTTTGGCCACTAGTCACGTACCCCTTGTAATGTCCAGAAATGATCACTTTCACCTACATGTTGAGCTAATGCCACCGGCCATCTGCAGACCTAATTCTATCCTCTAAAATGGATTTACTCTATCTTCCTACAAGCCAGAAGGATACTGCAACCTTGTTGATACTTCCGGAGGGACACGTTGTCAGCCTGTGTTCCCAAACAAAGCCTTCACTGATAACACAGCAGGAGTGCCCACTATCTCAATAAAGTAAACATTTTCATTAAATAAAATTAACAAATGTTATATGGATAATAATACTGTTTCATTAACCTGTGCTTGAATTATTTAGATGAAATGAAGTATTACATTAAATGATTTAGATATATGGTAATCAGTAATGGTTGATATGACAAGTCAATCGTGACCTGCACCAGCCACAAGGACAAATTAAAGTTAAGTTAAACTCATGACACATAGATACTTCTTTACCCCAGATCAGATCATCCAGTATCTCAAGAACGCATGTTTCTGACGTTGTCTTGGTAATGTCCCTTAGCATGGCACGCTCCGATTGGCCAAGTAAATCATAATATGAGAATATGAAAACAGAATCTCTTTCAGTGACTCAGCAGTTGTAGTCGCATTCCAGCTTTCCATCATTCAGCTTTTCAGTTCTAGAGAGCGCTTCGGAACAGCCGTCCGGAGCGACACCTCTTTAACCCTGAGCATTTTTGGCCAGCTGCCAAAACCCTGCTAAAAGCTGCCTACTGCCGACACAGCAAACGGTTCCTGCAGAACAAAGCTGATATTGTTCTGACTACTAAAAAGTCCTTCTAGACGCAAAGGTTCCATCCATCTGTTGTGACCCAGGACATCTCTGGACTGGAGAGTCTGTGCTACGGTATTCTACAACCTCGGTGCCAGAGGTCATCTGACCTCTCTGACCTTTGGATCCATGAAGAGTAGGGTTGGGCATCAAGCATCGAGCATCAATTGGAACCAGTTCCAACTGTTAGTTTTTCCCGGAATCGTTCAAAGTTTTTGTTTCGATTCCTTGTTTCGATTCCTAGAATGCTGACGGAAGATGAATCCGCGGCCGATCTCTGTGAAAAATAAACGTGATCTGCAAATTGTGATCAACGCTCTTCAGAGCTGATCACACCAGCTGTCTGTGTGCAACACGAGTCGCCCATCCCCCCACCCAGATATAAACAAACACGTCTGCCGAACTTTTAGTAAACTTTACCTCCTGCAGCGAAAAATGTGCCGTAGAGGAAAATTGTTAAATATGTCAACACGGTGGATTTAATAGAAGCTTAAAGAACAAACTCTGGACGGTGTGAGGTGAGTTTGTCTCACTGCAGAAATAAAAACACACACGGAGGGTCAGCAGTCAGACGCAGCTGCTCACCAATTCTCGTGTGTGTGTGTGTGTGTGTGTGTGTGTGTGTGTGTGTGTGTGTGTGTGTGTGTGTGTGAACACACTGTCTGCTCATTATAACTGGGTCAGTATTGATTACACCAACAAGGCCAGGACACCTGAACCAACACACCTGTGTGGAGGTTACTCAGCATGTTTAACAGAGTATCTAGAACGTACGGAAACACAATGTGCATTTATAAGAGGACTTCTTACTACCACTCTTCACATCTAAACTCCACTTCTCCAGACTAAAGGGGTGTTTGTGTTTCTGGGGCTTTCACGTGGTGTGGTGTGTTAATGGAGCGTTCCTGAACGGACACGAGCACCTGAGCACCACAGCTGGGATTTACCATCAGTAGATTGTGGAAGAACACCGCATGTTTCATAAATCAGGATTATGGCCGTTAGTATGAAGGTCCTAGACTTCTGGAACATAGAACAGCTTCTACCAGCGTTTGACGAATGAGGGCCGTGTATGTGTGTGTGTGTGTGTGTGTGTGTGTTGGGGGGGGGGGGGGTCAGCCTGCTCCAATTACTAACTACCATCACACCGTAGTCTAAACTTTTAAAGCTGTAATGGCGTTTTCTCATTTATAATCTGAACTAAACCATTTAGGAATGCAACTAGGGGCCACTCTGAGGGCCACAAACGGCCCCCAGACCGCTCTTTGAACACACCTGACCTAAAGGAAGTCCCGTGGTTTGATTTTAACATACCAATATTTAGAGGATGAGGCCTGAACCTGCTTTAATACAAGTCCAGAACCAGTAAACCCACAGGACTGTTCTCACCTCACAGGTACAGGTGACTCTGCGTGGGTGTGGCGCCTCCTGCTGGAGCTGGTACACTACAGCAGAAAAGAAAAAATCAGCTGACACAGCCTCACGTTAACCAGGATTAAATTATAATCTGACGATACTCACAGTAGGATTTCCACACTGGAGGCCTGTACTCATCATGATCTGAGGACAGAAGAATACACAGCAGCTCACAGCGGTTCTCTCAGCCACAGCGCCACCATGTGGAGGAACCGTCACACCTCAATAAAACATCATCATCAACCAAGACCCAGTCCCAACACTCCCCTGCATCTTCAGCAAAGGGCACTGGGAGAAGGTTCACTGTACGGCTTCCAGTGCGTCGTACACAAGTGTGAAAATAACTGCCGACCTGAGACAAGGAGCGTTGTAATCGACCGCTACGCATGCTGGGATGCTGCTCGCTGTGCTACTGTTTTCAGAAACTTTTATTAACAACTTTCAAACAAACAACCAAACAGGTATTTGACATAAATTTAAATTCATTGCTGCTTTGTCTAAAACATTCAGAGCATCAACCACTCGTCCTAAAACAAACTACTTTCAATAGAAAGTACGTATTTTCAGAAAAGGAACTTGAACCGTTTCACCTGCGGCTATGGATTGTGGGTAATACACTTCACCCATGTCCGCATCCATGCAGACTTGGATGAAGAGCGGATCAAGGGTGCAAAAGGAGCGTGATCAACTTCCACATTGGAGAATCGGGACACTCTACGCACTCGCACCCCTGGTCGGGATCGCTCAATTGAAGGACGCAAGCGTGGAAGTGCGAGTGTTGGGATTGGGCCTTAGAACACAGTTTAAACGGGATAGGGCGCCTAAGCCACGCCCACCTACTTCAGACCATGGGACCCTAAAGCCAAAAAAGAATGGGAGTCTCTGAGAAGATTAAAGTTATTTTCTGGTCCCGTTTGATGTGTGCCATGGGTTCAACAGATGATGTTGAGGAATGTGAAACTACGCATTTTGGTGCCAAGAAAGAGCTTTTTTTCATCCCTACTGAATCAGATGATCTCACTGGCTAAGAACAAGAATAAGAGATGATGGTGAAAAACATAATTCTGTGTATTTGTGTAAGGATCTGTGGAAGCCTTCACCAACACAAAGACTCAGAACACATCTACTTCCTGGTTTATCATCTTATGCGGACGTTTGTTTGCTCTCCGCTCCAGTGAGCTGTCGCCCACTTCCCGCTTACACGTGTTTAAATTAAAACGTTACAGCTGTGGGAGAACGCTGCATCAGGATGATGCCACAGCGGACTAAAACTAAATTCCTACTCATTCAACCCATCACACAACGAGACAGCTGCTACGGGAGCCTGCAGGGCCAAACCAGGGACTGTATGAACGCATGAATGTAAAGCACCAGCCACTACAGCCTTCCTGGTCTAGCTATTATCTGTCCATGGTGCCTGCATGGGGCTTTCGTGGTTAGGGGGGATGACTTGTGCATGGTTTTCCATCATGTTTTTGTTGATGACATCATTTTTATGACGGTCTGGTGCCCTAAAGCTCGTTAGTACACTGTAAACCCAAAGGTTCAAAATAATCAAATACATTGAGTAGATAAAACTCATAATAAAAAAATAGTTTATAGAACTCAAATGTGTTGAGCTTGTTCAACCTTTTCCTTGTTTTAAGTAATTGAACTCAAATGTTTTAATTAATATGAACTATTTCTTTTTTTTAAGTAAACAGAACTTTAATTAATCAATGAAGGACAACTTAACTTTAATGAGTAATATTGACAAAAAATGATTGATTTATTATTTTATGTTTCTATGTTATTCCATTCGTCTTTACGTCAACACTAAAATGTGTCTAATAAAAAGACTCGTATCTTCTTTTTTTAAATTGTGGATTTCCAGGAAAAACAACCACAAACTAGCAATTTTGATGGATTGCAGGAACAATAAACAACTGCTGGGCGTGGTGCATTGTGGGTAGTCAAATTTTCAGTTATTTTGCTCTATTTTGGGGTGTTTATGCATGTTCCTTGTGGAGGATTGTTGTTCTCAGTTATTATTTCATTCAGTGTTGCAGATGTGGTGTTACTTTTTGTATCATGTTTGCCCCATAAGTGAGGAGGTTGGTCAAAGTAATGCTGTATGGCTGTGCCGTCCCATTGTTATTAATACTGTGGTTGTTCACACCAGGTACTCTTGACTTGACTTTGAGTGTCCCACTTTCATTGGCTGTTAGCATCTAGGGGTGTGTGAGTCATGATCTGGTGTTAGTTACTGCCTTCACCAGCCTGTCACATTGTCACTTTTAAGTAAATTCAGCTTATTTGGGTTAGGGTTTAATAGGTCCATTTAGAGTTCATATAAGATGTATTATTTAAGTTAGTAAAAACATGTAATAAAGTTCAAATAAAATAAAATATGCAAGTTTAGTGAAATAAAACTTTTTAAGTTGCTTAAGTGCTAAGTTATAGGTTGGAGGTAGTTAAATGTTTTGATTTTATTCAGGTCATATTTTTTAGGTTATGGTAAACATAGTTTTTGATAAGTTAACTTAAAAATTATTAGGTAATCAGTTCCCTCATAAATTTTGAGTTCAGTGAACTTATTCGGGATTGCAGTGTAGCTCTAAAGAGTGAAACTCTGCCACCATAAATCCTAGTGCTGCGTCCCACATTCAGCCCTCACTAGTCAGACTCACGTACCTTTGTCACTTACATAAAAAGCAAGTCACCCCCAAATCAACTTTTTTTTCTGATAAACTATATAAATGTGTGTCTTATCGTGCTGCTGACACGTGTAGTTAATAGTTTTGTACTTTAGTGCATTTTAGTTAAAATTGTAATTTTCTGCCTAAAACTGTCAGTGTTGTGCCGTTGTCAGGTAAAAACTCTGCACTGCATTAGAATTTAAATCTGCCACCGCTATTGGCTAAGAGGTATGCTATGATGCCAACTGGTCCTTATGATGTCACAATGCCGTTGTGAGCCTGTGTGTGTGTGTGTGTGTGTGTGTGTGTGTGTGTGTGTGTGTGTGTGTGTGTGTGTGAAGAACAAACTTTACAACATACACTGAACTCAAATGTTGTGAAAGAAACTCCAGATGGAAACAATAGTACATTAACTCACACCGAGTGTTTATCCTTGGTCACCAGGGTGCGGGTTGTTTTATCTTGGTGTGTAAAACAACAGCAGGACTTCCCGTCCCAGTGTACATTCTGCATCCCTTTATCTGTGCAACACTCAGCATCCTGTCTCCTGAGGAGCCCAGATCCTCCCTGAGCAGAGCAGCTCGGGTAGACAGATCATGGAGAGGAAAGTCACAACACCACGGTGACCTTTACACCTGGGCTGCATGGTTTCTTATCAAATACAGCACGTTAGGCAATCCCTACAGATCAGGAGATAATAACATCTATTCTAATATATGTGATGTTTATTATCACTTCACTCGCAGGTCTGCGTCTACCTGAGGAGGAAATTACCTGGATTTAGCTTCAAGGTGGACTAATTAGTATTATTGTTGTTGTGTTTCTGCATTACCTACATGCACACACACACACACGTCTGTTGAGCTGGTATAATTGTCCCAAAGTGAATGATCATCTCCAGCGTGTGAACAGCCGTAATAAACCAAACTTCTTACCAAACACATTCAGGGCCATCTTTATCTCAGATAGGAGGAACCACAGAGCAGCAGCAGGTTCGGACCTGGTTGGTTCAGATCCTGGCAGAGAGAAGACAGACACACGGTGAGTAAACGTGACTATTGTCTGGCGCTACCAGCTCCGGAAGATTCAACAATAACGGATCAACGCTAACGGTGGCTGCTTCCACCGAAGGAAGAAGCTAGCGTTACAACCAGCTACCTGTAGCTAGCTGAAAACGTTTCCTCTACATAACGAACACACTTCACTGACAAAGACGTGAAGTTACCCACCGGTACGTTACCGCAGCCCGCGAGCTAAAGACACGAAAAACTCACGTCCCATCTCTACGTCAGGATCGCCATCTTGCTAGGTCACGTGGCCAGTCTTCTTTAGAGGGTAACTATGGCAACAGACTGCTCAGTTGCTGCGTGCTTGGTGTAGATTTAGTTCCGGCACCACGAGCTGACCCTGATTCAGTTCTACATTACATTTGGATCCTGCTTCAAAGCAACGAGAAACATCAAAGGAGCAACTTCAAAAATACAACATGTGGCGCTATTGCTATGGCCGGTTAGCTCAGTTGGTTAGAGCGTGGTGCTAATAACGCCAAGGTCGCGGGTTCGATCCCCGTACGGGCCATCATCCTTTTCTCCTCTCGAAAAGGAGCTGGACCTTTTTTATGTCAGAGGGACTTTGGACAAAATGACCACATTAAACTTTAGATTCCATCTAACAGCAAATAGATGGAGTCACATCAGTTGCATTCCAGGACTGGTTCCAGTAAAATAATTTAAAGATGTGTGCTCTTTTTAATATAGAATGGAATAGAAAATGGCTTTATTATCACTCCAAGGAGACGTTTAGGTATTTACAGATCATGAACTACATTCACTTGAGCAACAGGTAATAGAGTTTTTTCAGAACAAAGGTGTGAAATTGGATAGTAAAGCCACTGAAGCATGTCATCATCTACCAAGAAAAAATAAAAACCAGAAGTCAGGCATCATCATCCATTTTGTAAACAGAAAACATAAAAAAGAGCTCCCTAAACAGAGATGAAAACTTAAAGGAACAAATGTGTATGTGAACGACCATATGATAAAGAAAAATGCAGATGTTGCAAAGCATGCCAAGCCATTGAGAAAGCAGAAGAAAATACAATCTACCTAAACCTCGGATTGTAAGGTCTAAACTGAACAGAACTTCAGACCAAGCTATGTTAACAAAAATGTACCACAAGTTCTAACATTTACCCTGGCATTATTCCATAGTTTAACCCCCACCACAGATATATGTTTCCTTTTAACTTTTTTTGCCAAAAGAACAGTAAATTTATTAATATCTCTAAAATCATACTTAGTCTCTACACAAGAAAAAAACTTTTGTACTCTGCAAAAGTAATTTTAATTTAGCTTTATACATAATTGGCATTATTTTAGTATACATGTACTAAATCATTAAATTACATAACATGGGATTTTAAAAACTACAGATGTGTATGTGCCAAATATTAAAATTAAATTATTAATATTAAATATGACAACTATTAATCATATGTATTGTACGTTTTTGTAAGAGAACAATTGCACTAACATACGTTTGATTAGTCAGTCCCCAGACACAGTATGAAGGTAGTATGAGTGAACAATAAATGATATGTAAAGCTGCATAATTCATTATATGTCTTGATTTGTACAGTATTGCTATAATCTTAGAAAGTTTTCCTTTAATGTAATAAACATGCTGTCTTTGTTTCATTTTATGATCGATAACCACCCCCCAAATTTTTATTTCTGTCACCCTTTCAATGTCAACATTACATATTTTAAGTTAATTTCCCTGTCAAGTTCCTTTTGATTATCAAATATCATAAATGTTGTCTTATTTAAATTGAGTGATAATCCATTCATATCAAACCAAGTCTTAAGGATTCCCAAATCTTTTTCTATTAGGGCAAATGTTTCTGTAAATTATTACCTGAACAACATAAATTTGTATCATCTGCAAAAATCACAAATTTCAATAAATTATTGACCTTACAAATATCATTAATGTAAAGTAATGAAATGTTTACATTTAACCTTTTATCTGGCTTATTGATCTTCATAACGCTGGTAGAAATGTAGCTACAGCTGTGAAGTAGCCCATGAGTGTTATTTTATGATACCTAGTATTTATTTTACTGTATCCCGTTCTCTGGACCAGAGCGTAGACCTGTGGTCACAGACAGGCTGCAGTCATTAAAATGGTTAACATGAGGTCCGGGGTCACACTGTTTTCTGAGTGTTTGCAGTTCTGAGTTTAAATACCGGTAGTTCTTTTGACATAGTTTGCTCAAGTCATTCTGAAGTTCCTGTTTAGTAATAAATGTAAAGAAAATTCAAATCTGTTTTTTTTTTCCATTTAAACTGCAGTTTTACAGACTTTAATAAACACTAAATACAAACCAGACACTGAAAGCTGAGATTGTTCAGAAAAAAGGAGCAGAGTTACAAACATTTTGCACTTTTATTACAATTTTAAAGCCATAAAACAAAAACAAAAACTTGTTATATTTATGGTCATAAGAGGGTTAACCGTGATTAATTTCTGCCTCCCACAAATAGCTGGTAAAACTGAATGTGGGCATAATTATATACATTTTATTACTTTATTATGTATTTTTTATTATTGACTATCACTCCAAAGGGTTCAAATGAAGGCAGCTGGACTTCTTTGGTTTCTTTAAAACATTTCACTTCTCCTCTGAGGAGCTTTGTCAGTTCTAACTGGAATATGGGAGAGTCAAGCTTATAAGCTGTAGCTGTCTGTTGTTATTTAAAGAGCAGAAACTACTCTTGAGTACCCCGCCTCGCCATCTCCTGATGAGTCGTTAGCCTCTATTGGTGGTGAGTCATCGTGTTGATTAGATGCAGGAAGATGTGACCTAGACTGAAACTGAATGAGATTCAAAGCTGCATTATTAGTACTGGAAAGGTGAAATCTAAGCCCCTCCCCTATTTAAAGTGGGGTTTTCACGTTTTTACATAGATAGCTTCTTTTACTGCTCTCTCAAATCATCTATCTTCTCTGTCCAGAATGTGTACTTTGTCATCTTCAAAGGTGTGTCCCTTGTCCTTCAGGTGAAGGTGGACTGCAGAGTTTTGACCTGAAGAGGTGGCTCTCCTGTGTTGTGTTATGTTCTTGTGTAATTGTTGTTTAGTTTCTCTAATGTAAACATCTGGACAGTGCTCCTACACTGGACTGCATAAACGACCCCACTGAGCTTCTGTTTGGGTGTTTTGTCTTCAGGATGGACCAGGTTCTGTCTGAGGGAGTTGTTGGGTTTAAAGTTTACCGGGATGTCGTGTTTGGAGAAGATTCTTCTACGTTTCTCTGCGACTCCTGCCACGTATGTGATGATGGTGCCTTTGTGTAACGGGTGTTGTTGTTAGGTTGGTAGCAGAGCTCTCATGTTTAGTGTTAAGTTCAATGAGAACATGGAATGGGATCAAGAATTTTCTACTGGCAGGAAAGAGATCTCAGCTAACATAGCTGTAGATGACACTGGATAAGTTTCTGTGGTTGCATTTATTTTACATTTATTTTACTACCTCTTACTAGAGCTGTCTTTAGTAGGCACAACATATCTTTGGTTGTACACATGTGCAGTAATAAAGTATCTTGATTTCTGTTAAATGTACTTCCTGAACGAGTGACCTTTTCAGGCTAAAACAACAAAATAACAAATACAGACAGAAGGACGACTTCTTTCTTCTTTTATAATGCGTTGCATCACCACCTGGCATCAGAACAGGAACTAGTATTGGAAGATAATCAAAAATCAAACAACTTGGACTCGGATCAGGGACAAAAATGTGGTTGTAACATCTCTAGATATAAGTCAGCTTTAAAAACTAAAACTATTATTTAGGAACTAACATTAACACTAATGACACTAATTGATATATTTTTATTATGTTGTTTGAACCCAAGTTTCTCATTATCTGAATTTTCTAACTTGTTGGATTGCTCTATAAGTGCCCCTTTTTTTTTACTTTGACCACCCGCCCCGTCAAAGGTCTCTGCACGGCCCTGGACATTAATATGTTTATGGTTACGTTCATGGGTTCTCAATCAGCTGAGCTCTTTCTTTACTCTTCCAACACTGTGGATTACAATACCTAACTGCAGCACCAGGATCGGCCACCAGGTGGAGGTGTGGCGCCGCCGTGCAGCTCTTCCTCGCTGCCTAACGCGGCGGGAGTTCAGAGCGCCGGAGGCGGCGAGCAGCCAGGGGCAGCTCTCATTGTTCTGCTCGGAAGCTGTCCGCTCCGTGGCTGCCGCGTTTGTCTCGATGGCTGCCGCTCAGGAACCACGTCCCACCTGAGAGCTAGCGGGAAGTTTGCTGGGGTGGGCTTGTACCGTTTTCCTCGGAGGTTCCCGTGGTGTGCGTGGGGAGCGTTCGTGGATCCCGGAGCAGGAACAAGAGGGGTAAGGAAACCGTGCTATCCGGATAATGGAGCCAGGTTACACGTAGCCTCTCCTAGCTTTTCCTGCCGTCGCGTGGATGATTACTGTCAAAATGTCTTCTGTAGCTGGAATAAACTGGATTATTTCTTGTTTAGAGGCATGTTTTTGGAAGAACACCACCCCTAGTCTCGCTTTTGCTGCCACCAGCCCGCTCCTTTCCCTAGTCTGTTGAGCTTCAGGGTCCAGCTGAACTTCAGCATGAACCTGCTCTTCTCAGGGTTTGTTATACGTTGTTATGCTCGTGGGGGGACTTTTCAGTGCTGTGTTGGTGCTTTAATCGCTGCTTAATCTGAGCAGGTTGCCTTACTGTAACCCACTGATCTTTAGTCAGAAGGATTACTCTGCTAACCCACTTTCTGCAGCTCTGACACGTGACCTCACCTGGTGTACCTCTCGAAGCCGTGACAGAGGTGACATGATTGTCTTTACACCTGCCTCTGGGGTCAGATCCAGGTGTGTGTGTGTGTGTGTGTGTGTGTGTGTGTGTGTGTGTGTGTGTGTCAGGTATTGATCAGACTACACAGGTGGAGCAGCGAGGAGGCTTTGATCTCACCTGAGTGTGGATCAGAATCTAATCCCTCTGGGTGTTAATCTGATTTGACAGTGAAGTCATTTCATCAGGCATTCCTGTTCAGCTCCTGAAGCATCTGCTGTAGAGGAAGCAAAAGAAAAAAATGACATGTCCAGTTAGAACAGCTGACCCGCACCGATTCTGGTTCAGAGGGCCGATACCAGTGACCACTCTGACCTGTCTGCTATTTCGTCCAACTCCAAATGTCTTCAAAGAACAGCAGTCAGAGTAGGACAGTCTAAATAAATCAGATTAACTATACAAATTACAATTTCAGCAGGGATTAGCGCTCCATGATCACAGACTAAAACGAATAATTCTTGTTGGCTGGGTCTAAGCACCTGCTGATTTTTGGTACATCAGTTAAACTTAAAATCTCAAAAAGGAATATTCTGTAAATATCACTTCCAACTTCTTGGTCGTCATGACAACGCAAAGCTCCGATCAGCTGTTGAGCACATCTAGTGATAACCACTTTAAGGGTTGGGGCTCTTAAGGATTGCAGAGTGAGGGCAAAACACACCGGTGTGTGGAAAGCCCGGGTCACACTAAACGTTTTCGGCTGTTGCCGAGGACCGCCTCATGTCACACTGAGCACTCTAGAGAGGTGGTGCGCTACACGATTTTAATGAACCAAATGTCACAACGTCTCACTCTAGCTGGACACGCTAACTTCATTAGCATAGTCTTTCATAATGAATCTGCTCACGATGAAGACATTTGTCTAGGACAGCCAAAACGGCTTATGGTTAAAGTATGACCTCCAACATTATGATATCTTTGCTTTCCGTACTTGCTGTGTATTTCAGTCGGAATAACCTGCTGTAAGTATGGTAGTGGAGTCTGCTATTGGTGCTTTTATTTCGCTAAGCTACACCACAGCATCCCGGTGTGTTGTCAGCTAAAGGTGGACGTTTATGATTAAATATAAAGTTCCTAACTGCTCCAAAGGGAAAGGTTACACATGGATTGTTTCCCTAAATGCTGACATGAAGCTCTTTCTACACATGCACATCCGATTCCCAGGCTTCCCTCAGACTCCTGGGAAACTTGCATGGAGCAGCAGTTGAAAGGCCGATCCAGAGGCCCGGCTGCTGGACGCTCCCACAGTGGCCTCCTTTGTGCCGGCCATGTGACCGGATCACTCTGTATTCCTCTCTTGCACCAGCAGCTCCGTGCTGAAACCTCCCAGGCCCTACTGATGAGCTGGAGGAACCTCCTAATTCCCACTCTCTGGATTTAATTGCTGCTGACACGGATCTCAGGCTCCTAAATCAGTCCAGACAACTTTTATGGGCTGGTTGGTGATGGAAAACCGGTGAGGTCACTCTGGAGGAGCTGCTGTGGTTTTCTGTGGGAAGTTTGAGGACTTTTGCTTTTTGTTTAGAGCTGAGTGAATAATGGAGAGCACCATATAAATCTACATAATAATAATAATAATTATTATTATTATTTATTATTATTATATAATAATAACAATAGTCCAGAGTAAAAAAAAACAGAAGGCAAAGCTCTCAATTTACCGGTCGATCTACGTTCCTACCCTCACCTATGGCCATGAGCTTTGGGTAATGACCGAAAAAAACGACATCGCGGATACAAGTGGCTGAAATGAGTTTTCTCCGAAGAGTGGCTGGGCTCTCCCTTAGAGATAGGGTGAGAAGCTCGGTCATTCAGGAGGGGCTTGGAGTAGACCCGCTGCTCCTCCACATTGAGAGGAGCCAGTTGAGGTGTCTTGGGCATCTGGTTAGGATGCCTCCTGGACGCCTCCCTGGTGAGGTTTTCCGGGCACATCCAACCGGGAGGAGACCTAAAGATAGACCCAGGACACGTTGGAGGGACTATGTCTCTCACCTGGCCAGGGAACGCCTTGGGATTCCCCTGGAGGAGCTGGCCCAAGTGGCTGGGTAGAGGGAAGTCTGGGCCTCTCGCCTTAGGCTACTGCCCCCGCAGCCCGACTCTGGATAAGCGGATGAAAATGGATGGATGGATGAATAACAATAGTCATTATTATTGTATAATAATATTATTATTATAATATATTATAATATAATATAATATTATTATTATCATTTATTATTATTATACAATAATAACAATATTTATTATGTATAGTATTATTTTTAAGAGCAGAATATTGTCTAAAGTCCTCAGTGTGGGAAAGTGTCCTGCAGCAATTAGCCTGCTCCCACAGCTGTAATGAGGAACTGAGTATGGGGTAACCTGGGCAGGCTCCAGTTTGAGTCTCTGTCCTATGGGTGAGGATAGGTGTGTCATAGGGTTGAGCATCGTTTGATTTTGAACGATTCCGATTCCAGTTCCTTGTTTCGATTCCGGTTCCTATCGATTCCCGATTCCGATTCTTTCAAGACATGACATGCTTTACATGAGCTAGCTAACCACAGGTCCTAGTTGATGAAATAATCTTAACTCCAACATTAATTTTATTTCTATGAACAATAACATCACCTTCATTCAGACAAAAACATGTTTTGGAGAACAAAAGAAAAAGACTTGCAGCACAACCAGTGTGTTTGTTTCTGACCACAACCAAAGTCTGGAAGAAGCCTCTGGGATGAGAGGCTAAATGTCTGCAACACATCCGGAAACATCCAGCTGTTTTCAGCTAAAACTCTCAGGATGATCATGTCCAGGATGACTGAGAACTACACCTCCATGCTGCAGCAACATTCAGTCAGAACAGGAAGTGAAACTTAAATGTAGCTGCTGTCAGTAACGATCTAACAGATTTTAAAGGGGCATTATGGAAGTTTGACAGCCAAAACATGTATAGAAATAATAAATTTCTTCTTCATACATTCTCCTGCAATGCCCTGGTCCTGTAGAATGAGCCCTGGCATTTTTACTGTGATTGCCTGTTTTTCTGTAATATCACAGAAAAAGAGAGCTGCTCGGGTCGAGCAGGCTGCTTCATGCGCGTTCACACTCAGGCATAGCCCGTAGCATTTGCTATCCGTAGCTTTAGCAGCAGAGAGCGAGGCAGTGCCAACTCAGTGACTTTGTCCCTGTTCCTAACGCCTAGTGACAAACCTAGCTACATTTCTGAGGACTCTTAGCTACTTTCTTCTAGATATTTCCTGCAAATTAGCAACAAAATAGCCATTTTCCCTCCGAACCGTTCATTGAACATTGTTTTAGCTGTCATCAAGAATATAAATATTACAGATCATAAAGATGTTGTTGGTGCTTTAGCTCACCTAGTTAGATGTCGGACTGTCGTGCAGGAGACATAGGTTCGATTCTGGGTGTGAACATAGTTTATTTAGAGTTTATTTTTTACATTAATGGTATATTTTTTTACAGTAAGATGCCCAAATTTTTATTTGAGACTCGCTGAACGGCATTGAATTCACAGATAAAAAAGATGTGGGTTCATCTTTCATTTTGGAACAATTTTTCAAGCAAGGGAAGGGAATGATCTGAGCGTGCAGGAGGACTGACCCATCTTAAACCTTGGTCGGCTGTGCTGAAGAGAAAGGTACAGAACCAAATTATTTAATTAATTAGCTGCGCATTCTCCTGTCCTCTGGGCCACACACACACACACACACACACACACACACACACACACACACACACACACACACACACACACACACACACACACACACACACACACACACACACACACACACACACACACACACACACACACACACAGGGTTTCCCTTACATAGGCGTAGCCATGGCGGCCCGCCACGCCTACAAGATCAAGTTTTTTTTTTTTGCGCTGTTTCCCGAAGAAGCAGCGGGAACTACTATGTTGTCACTTGTGATCACAGCCGGCGGGCAGCAAGGAGGAGCAGGCAGGGCAAGGTGCAGTTACAGCAAGTTACTGAGTTTAAAATTAGAAAGGTAGCAGTGGATATAATGCTTTGTGCTTTACATGTTTCAATAGCATTAAGATAAACGAGTGTTGACGATCTTGACAGGGTTTCCTCCAGTGCTTATTAGGCCAGGTTTTCCTCCCCCCACCAGGCTAAGCATCACTTATTCATGTAAAATGTATTTATTTTTTCATGTCTGACTTTAACCGCATCTAATACTGTATTACGGCGTGAGCGCAACAGCGACAACTTAAGATCGATGTGTGAGCAGCCTGAGAGGTCGGGTGTTTCATCTGAACTCTCAAAACCTCCAGCAGGCTACGCTGCACTAATGACGTGTTAGCGCGTGGCGCTAACAACTTAGCGACGTGACATGTCTCGGAGAAAGCGTAAAAACACGTTGGACACTTCTTCTGAAGCGGGAAAATAACGCTTCTTCTTGAGCAGAGCACGACGTCGCCTTGGCTCGTTCGCGGCCGAGCTCGATAACATTGACCCAGCACAGCCACTGGGTCGTTGGAGCTGCCCCGTGACTGCCTGATGGAAAACCAGCGGGTTTCATCAGACTCGTAAAGTTTCTTGTTTTTGCTGGGGACCCCCTGTATTTTACCGCTCCCTCCTGCAGTCTTCCCCTGTTAAAATTTAAAATGATTCTGTAAATTCTGTGTATCAATAGAAAAAATCTCTGCCTCTGCCAGCTGCAGTAAATGTAGTTTCCAAATAATAAGTAAGAGGTGCATTCATCCGTGTATCTCCTTTGATCCGCATTAGTGATATTCTCAGCACCAGAAAAGTGAAGCAAAGAAACACATTCCTGAGTTTGTTAGTAATTTTATTTATTAGGTGCATCTGACCTGTGCTATTTTTCTCTGAAATGAGATCAAATCAGTGCTTCTAAGAGTTGTCTCCACTCTGCACTAGAAATTTTTACTTTATTTAGAGACGTGCCATAATTTCTCCCCGATATTACTTGCGATAAATAAAAACTTAACTCAGGAACAAAAATAATGAAAAACCAAAATAAAAAAAATTATCAAAATGAGAAAAGCAAAAGATGTGAGGAAAGGGGGAAAAAATGAAGAAAAGGCAATCCGTGGACCCCAGGAAAAGCAGAATCAGCAAAAAGAGCAGAACAAAGCTAACTCAGGTGTTTGCTAACCATCAAGATTAGGTGTCGTCCACCTAGGGGCGGGCATCTAACGTATGAGAACCCACCCGATTGGCCAAATGGGTGAAGAGTTCTATTTGATTTGTTAAAAAAAAATCAGTCTTCCGTTTGACTGACAGAATGCATTATGTGTAGCAAACATCTGAGCTGACCATTCATTGTGATATTTATCCCTTCTTTGCGACATGCATATTGCGCATGCTGAAATCGCGATAACGATATATTTACGATATATTGTGCAGCCCTACAAAGGCTGTTCCCGTTTGGAAGACGACTTGTGAGGAAAGACCGCAGTAGGTCACCTCCCTCTGGTGAAACTCATCCCCACATGTGACCCATCCCCGTGGAGGGGAGCGGTGAGCTGCAGCAGCGGCTGCACCCGGGAACCATTTGGTGGTTTAACCCCCGAATCCAACCCCTTAAAGCTGTGTCCAGCAGAGAGGCGTTGTGTCCCATTGTTAAAGGGCCCGAACCGTCCCGACCAGGATTTGAACCCCGATCGCCCAGTCCCAGGGCGGACACCCTACCTCTAGGCCACTGGGCTGGTAAAAGGTCATTCACTTAGTGAAGCAATACTTAACTTCTCTGAGCAACCGGAAAAACAAGTCAGGAAGAAAAGTTACTCCTGTTTTCACTTCAGTTCAATCATAATAATCAGTAATAATCCCATAAATACCTGAGGGATTAATGGGGTCAGTCACTAACCGTCAGACAGCAGCAACACAGATTAGCATGATAGCTGCTGCTGCCGGGATAAAGGGGAAACTGGGAATTCACCTCATGTAACTTCCTGTTTCCTTAAGCTGTTAATTTCCCCCCACTCAGCCTGGTGTGTGCTCCTAAACTCACCTAAAGCCCCCAGCAGGTCCCAAACCTCCATCAGACCATCTGGACTCTGACTCCAACCAGAACCATCAGCTGATCTCCAGGCTGCAGTGTCAGACCCCCCTGTCTGCTCTCCCACACATTCCTGCACCGCCATGATGTCACCGGGGTGTTTACTGCCTGAGGTCGGCTTTATCAGGCGTGGGATGGGGGAGGGGGTTTGCAGACGTGTGTGTGTGTGTGTGTGTGTGTTCCTACAGATCATATCTCTGGTTCAGGTCTGGACTGGCCCTACTGGGATCCCTGGTTGTAGATCCCACCTGTGAGCAGGAATGTGTCTGAGGTTAGATGCTGACCTAGTCTGCGGTTTGAACACTCACCTTTAATCATCTCAGCCAATCAGGAATGTCGCTGACAGCCTACTGGTTTTAACAGAGCTGAGTGGTTCAGGCCCGTCTCAGCAAACAGAGACGATGTCTCACAGCTAAACTATTAGAGCTCACCTGGAGGACCTTTAACCCTTAATGGGACATTTTAGGAACAACTGCTGTATTTCTGCTTCATGTTCCACCTAGAGAACTTTCCAACTAGATTCAACTCAGGCCCTGGAGGTCCGGTATCCAGCATGTTTTGGTGGTTTCTCTGAGTTAACACTTGATTCACCTGTGCAGCATCAGGCTCTGCAGAAGCCCGTTGATCACCTGTTGATTGAAAGCAGGTGTGTTGAAGCAGGTTAAAACTAAAACCTGCTGGACCTCCAGGCCCAGAGTTGAATACCCCTGACCTAGAGGACGTTCCACCTGCGTTCAGGAGATTTAGAGAGGGTTTCTGTGGAACACCTGTTGTAGACGCCTCTCATCCACACCTGTAACAGTCATGTCGTAAGCAAAGCAGAACATCCCCTAGCCCCGCCCCCTCCATGTTTACGAATGGATTTTACTCACCTAAAGTAAGACGAGTTAAAACCTCGTCAATAGTTGGTGCCTATGAATGTATCCGTTTAGTTCTAATTTATTTGTTGATACTTTAACAATTTTTAAAAAATCTAGATTTTGTTTATTTAATTAGATTGTCTAATTTATGTTCAGATTAACATCAAGGCGGTTCCACCAAACCATCAACCCTCCCGTTTAACAGCTTAAAGGAAAAGATATATGGATTTTGGAGATCAGTCCTGACCAGATCGATAAGCTAACGATTAGTTACATCAACATTCGGTGCTGTTTAGTAGCAACTAGCTGTTTGTTAACGACGCTCTGGTTGGAACCGGCCCAGACTGGACTATATTTGTTGGGTCCAAGCTCAGATGACAACTGTTGGTCTTTCTTGTCTCCTCAGATCGGAACGTGGGTTCTTCGTCTTGACGTTCTACACACACACACACACACACCATCATGTCTGAGTTAGCAGAGAAGCCGTCCACCGCCGGACAAAGGCTGAGCGCCCCTGAAAGCTTTGGTGTGTCCACCCTGGAGCCAGGCCTGCGTCCTCCAACCCAGCCTCCAGGCAGACAAGTCTCCTTTAGGGTCCAGATGCTGGACGACACACAGGAAGTCTTCCAGATATCGGTGAGTGACAGAGTTATCCATTGTTACCCATGTAGTCCCCCCCCCCCAGATTAAAGAGGTGACGTAACCATGTCCCCCTCCTCTCTAGTGATCCCCTTCCAGATCGCTAACATCTACTCAGAAACATCCACACCTTCTAACGTTGCTTCTGTAACTCTAATCTGACTCGTACGTAGGTATATTCAGTTCAGTTTATTAATCTGAATAACACAGGAATAGTCAGAGTTCAGATTATGAATCTGAGCCACAGTAGCGTCCCCACAGGGAGGAATTCATCAGCACACACTTGAAAAGGAAGAAGAAAAACAATAACAAGATTTACAGGTAAACACACAGGCCGTAAACTGTCACCGCAACCTTCAACCACTAAAAACTACAAATAAAAGGAAACTTGGGTTCTAGAACTATGCAGCATACTGCAATAGACACGGACATACTATGTAAATCTGGTATTGCATGAGTACTGAACACATACTGAATATTGCATTGGTGGTATTGTGTACCAGTTAAACTGAGGAGGTCTACACTCTTACTGCAGAGGGGATGAATGACCTACGGTAGCGTTCTGTTTTACATCTGGGATGTGTCAGTCTGCCTCTGAAGGAGCTGTCCATGGTCTCCACTGTGGAATGTAGAGGATGGGAGGGTTTTTAAGATGGAGGTCATCTTCCCCAGCATCCTCCTTTCACACGTCTCCTCAGCTGAATCCAGTGGACAGCTCAGAACCGAGCTAGCTGTGTTAGCTAGCTTGTTCAGTCTCTTCCTGTCTCGGTCAGAGCTGCATGCACCCCAACAGACCATCAGAGTGGATAACAGAGCCAACCACAGAGTGATAAAAGGATTCTAGCAGCAGAATTAACTCAGAAGGACCTCTGCCTCCTCAGGAGGTGGAGTCAGCTTTGGTCCTTCTTATACAGCATCTGTGTTGTTGGACCAGTTCAATTTGTTGGTGAGGTGAACACCCAGATGGTAGGGCTGTAGCGAAGCCTCGACGACGTCGACGGCTCGATTCTAAAAGTTTGTCGACGTCAGATCTGGAAGTCGACGCACCGCGCCCACTTGTTGCATCCCCAGGAGTTTGTAAACAGAGGAGGAATCTGCCTGTTTTTCCTCTAGTTCGCCCTCTTCTCCGCCTTCAATAACATCTCCGCCAAATACCGTAGACCCGGAACAATGTCCGTCCGCTACTAGATTCTTTTCCTGTTTTGCCCGCCTTCGTCTCCCGGCAACGGACAACAACTTCCGGGGTCAGATGCGCTGCTCCGTCTCTACCGCAGATGTAGAACATCACCGGGAGCATTTCTCCCTTCATAAAGGAGCTTCTTTCAGACATTAGGAGAGCTGTTTTGGTGGTAGCAGTCTCTCCTCCGTGCTGGTCTGTTTGCTGCTGGGTGTTTTTGGTTCATTTGAACTTGGCAACTTGAACTTAACATTGGTAAAGCTACTGTTAGCATCTTCGCTAACAGCTTCTTGCGTTTGGATAAGCTGTTACGTGTTGGTTTAGAGTTCATCTTTTTTGTGGTGTAGATCTCCCTTTTATTACATTTAGAGTGTTGTGGGTTTTCGGTTTAGTGTAAAATATCACCTGAGTTTGGTTTAACCTCCCAATTTAGAGTTTGGACCTTTGGAGATTCTTATTTTGGTCCAGAACCCAGTAATCTTTGCCCAGTGGGACATCCCTAGTTATCTGTACTTTGTTTTAATTCCCCACAGGCAGAATTAGTTGTATTATTCCCAACCTGTGGATGGAAAGATTTATGATTTTTTGTAGTTGTAAATAAACCTGATCATCATTTTAACTTTTAAATCCCGTTATTGTCCCTTCCTTTTTGCACACGAGCCAAACTCCCCAGGAAGAGTCGTAACACCACTCCCCTCCCGCACATAAGTGACCAAAACAAAGCAGCATGGAGACATTCCGTCTCCAACCACCTCTCAGGCAGCAGCCTGCACTCCCAAGTTCTACACGTCACCAGAACATAACCAACCAACACAATAAAAGCAGTGTTGTACAAAATGGAAGGCCTGTAGTGTTTATTCTCTTACAGTACTGATTTATCAATTTTTTTGAGGAATTTATTTGAGATTTTCTGGTTTTTGTTAATTGTGCAATAGAAAAATAATCATTAGACTAATTTTCTAAATAGTCATTAGAATAGTCGACTATTCGATAAAATAATCGTCAGAATAATCGTTTTAAAAATAATCGTTTACCCCCAGCCCTACTGATGGTATAGGTATCCACCACCTCAATGTCTGCTCCCTGAATGTTTTCTGGTGAGTGAGGAGGAGTGTTTCTTTGGAAGTCAGTCACCATTTCCTTTGCCCTACTGGTGTTCAAGTGAAGGTGGTTATGATGGTTACGACATGTAAGGCGTGAGATGCTCCTCCTGTTGTGTAGTTCACTGTTGGACATGTGAGACTAAAGATCACAGCTGCTCAGATGACGGAGACCAAAGATGGTTCCTAGTTCAGAGGGAGTCACTTGGAATACAGTGTTCACCTTAAGAACCAGTCTGGGATTCCCATTTCCTGTTTCTCCAGGAAGTGGGCTGGGAGCCAGCTTCCTGTTTGAACAAATTCCAGCTGACAGATCCCGATTCAGTGTGTGGTTTACTTCTGATGAGCTCCCCCCACGCTGCTTCTATAACTGTAACATGTTGACATGTTCTCCAGTCTGCAGCCATGTTGGCTTGTTTTGCGGCATGCAGCCATGTTGGCATGTTCTCCAGTCTGCAGCCATGTTGGCGTGTTCATCAGTGTGCAGCCATGTTGGCGTGTTCATCAGTGTGCAGCCATGTTGGCGTGTTCATCAGTCTGCAGCCATGTTGACGTGTTCATCAGTCTGCAGCCATGTTGGCGTGTTCTTCGGTCTGCAGCCATGTTGGCGTGTTCATCAGTGTGCAGCCATGTTGGCGTGTTCATCAGTCTGCAGCCATGTTGGCGTGTTCATCAGTCTGCAGCCATGTTGGCGTGTTCATCAGTCTGCAGCCATGTTGGCATGTTCTTCGGTCTGCAGCCATGTTGGCATGTTCTCCAGTCTGCAGCCATGTTGGCGTGTTCATCAGTGTGCAGCCATGTTGACGTGTTCATCAGTCTGCAGCCATGTTGCCATGTTCATCAGTCTGCAGCCATGTTGGCGTGTTCTTCGGTCTGCAGCCATGTTGGCGTGTTCATCAGTGTGCAGCCATGTTGGCGTGTTCATCAGTCTGCAGCCATGTTGGCATGTTCTCCAGTCTGCAGCCATGTTGGCGTGTTCTCCAGTCTGCAGCCATGTTGGCATATTCATCAGTGTGCAGCTATGTTGGCGTGTTCATCAGTGTGCAGCCATGTTGGCGTGTTCATCAGTGTGCAGCCATGTTGGCGTGTTCATCAGTGTGCAGCCATGTTGGCGTGTTCTTCGGTCAGCAGCCATGTTGGCATGTTCTGCGGTCTGTTAGCGCGTTCTCAATGTGGCGGGAGTGTGCAAGGCTCAGACGAGTTTATCCACCAGTCAGCTCTGAGGATCAAACATCAGGAAAACCTGGTGTCTCCTCCTCCTGCGCGGTCATCAGCTGAGATTTTAGGGCGTTTTTGTGTGATGGTAATTAGGAAAGAATCCAGTGTCTCAGCTGTTTTTCTCTCCAGCTTCCTGAGCTGCTGATCCAGGAACGCCGTAATTGGCTTTAGTGAGAGTGCCAAGAATTTATGTGGCTCGAGGACGTTTCTGCATGAGGAAAGTTCTGTAGACGAGGTTTAAAGGCACGGGAGCAAGAGGAGGTGGCAGGAAAGGAGGGAAAAGGCAGATTAGACCAGGATCTATCCCAGTTTTCCATACTTAGTTCCCATTGTGTTGAGTTTGTCTACGTCATCCGGCAGAGGCTCCCAGCATGTTTGTGCAGGAGAGCACTCTTAACAGGTCTGGAGATGAACATGCAGTCTCCACACACACACACATGCACAGACGCACACACGCATGCACGCACACACAGACGCATGCACGCACACGCAGACACACGCACGCACGCACAGACGCACGCACAGACACATGCACACACAAACGCACACACGCATGCACACACGCACGCACAGACGCACACACGCATGCACGCACACACAGACACACGCACGCATGCACAGACGCACACACACACACACACACACACATACACATGCACACACGCACGCACGCACAGACACATGCACACACAAACGCACACACACATGCACAGATACACACACGCACGCACACACGCATGCACAGATGCACACACGCATGCACGCACACACAGACACACGCACGCACGCACAGACGCACACACACACGCACATACACATGCACACACGCACAGACACATGCACAGACACACGCACACACAGACGCACACACGCGTGTGTGATGCACACACGCACGCACAGACACATGCACAGACGCACACACACACGCACACACAGATGCACACACGCACGCACAGACGCACGCACAGACGCACGCACAGACACACGCACACACAGACGCACACACGCGTGTGTGATGCACACACGCACGCACAGACACACGCACACACAGATGCACACACGCACGCACAGACGCACGCACAGACACACGCACACACAGAAGCACACACGCGTGTGTGATGCACACACGCACGCACAGACACATGCACAGACGCATACACACACGCACACACAGATGCACGCACGCACGCACAGACGCACGCACAGACACATGCACACACAAACGCACACATGCATGCACAGATGCACACACGCATGCACACACGCATGCACAGATGCACACACGCATGCACGCACACACAGACACATGCACGCACACATGCACGCACAGACACACACACACACACACACACATATGTGGGGGGGCATGGAGAGCAGTAGAACATTCATTCATCTTCTCTCTAATAAATAAATCAGCATTGTTTCAGTTGTCATCCCAGCCTTTCTGTGCTGACTGATGCAGCCACACACCGACACCAGACTAAATGATGAATGGCCTTTAT